ACTAAGCGGCTTGGTGGTACCAAATCGGTATTTACAGTTACTTCTGTGACTTCTGTATGTGTCTTTCATTCATCGCTCAGCCGGGGTATTTACCACAATGTGCTGCCTTTATTTCTAAATGAAAGAATGTTTGCCAAATCGATTTTTCCTGCTTTTCATTGTAATTCGTTTTATATTAAGTGTTTGGGTGTTTTCGGGTTGAATAAACTACTATTTTTAGTTTTCGTGGCAGTGTTCTTGAACAAATTTATTTATAATTATATATCACAGACTCAATCTATAAAATGCGGTTGAAACTGGAATTACAGTTGCATGAGATAAAAGGGGAAGGATTCTGGAAAGAAATGGAGATTGAAGAACTAAAAAATCTTGTTTTTGTTCAAAGCTTTTGCAAGTAACTTAGTTTACTTGTGTTGGTTATTGGGAGTTTTTACAGCGAAACCTAGGTACAAAAAGTGGTGAAGCGGTTACCTGATTGAAGTAAGGATTTCTCACGATTGCTAAGTTTCGGAATTTGTTAGTTTTACTGGACTTAGTGGTTTGAAATGTTCAAACTATTTTGACTTCCTTTTTATCGTGTTAATACTCCTTTGGGGAAATTTTTTCCAAGGAAACAAATTGAGATTGCAATTTTTACGAAAGGGATTGGTTATCAGTAAACTAGGCGAAGCAGTTGAAAATTGAAGATTATTAACGTCATGTCAATCACTTCTGTTGACACTTTCATGTAATATTGAGAAAGAGTTGAAAAAAGGTGTTGGAGAAAGTACATGATAAAAGTAATTAAATTTTCTGAAATTCTGAATTTTCTTCTTTAATCCCTCAGTTTTTTCTTTGCAAGCAGTACTCATCACACAATAGACTTTGTTACAATTTTTATGAAAGTTATTTCGGATCATATCATATGGTGCGGTAATCAGCGAATGTTATTTAACAAAGCTAACTCTTATGATCTATTACAGCTCAATATGAGAACAATTTTCATTGAAAAATATGTAACTGTCACCTACACTGCCAACTTTATCAAATTACTTTGTTTAATGTTACTAGAACACAGTAAAAAATAGGAAATGAATTTATGTGAGAAGCGTAATAAAACTGGAATTAAAATAAAAATTCGGAATTTCTGAACCGAACAGCCCCTAGTAATTTAATTTCTATTAACTGCTTTCATTCTTCATCAATGCCATATGGGAACTTTAATGTTACAGTTTGAATCTACTAGTTATTTTTTAATTAAAAAAATCTGCTAGTAAATTTTTTAATAAATTTGGGATGACAGAATAAATGGACGATCCAAATAAACGAAAAGTTATTTATTAGACAAAAACCGATAACAAAAGACAAAAAAGTGTAATAAAATTGAAATTAAAATAAAGCACCGAGGTTTCATTTACACGTATAAAGGAAGCCACTAAAGGGAAACAATTTTCAATGAATACTATAGCTTGAAGTGCTCCTTTTTTGATACTTTTATCTACGTATTGAAAATTTAGAATCAACACGAGATTTTTCATATTTCTGAAAAATAATTTGCGTTACTCTTAATAAATTATAATCTAATTGAACTTGAATTCGAAATTCCTTTATAATCTGGAAAACCGTCACTTAAACTGAACAGAATAACGAAATAAAACGACTCAACATTGCTGTATGATGAAACAATGTTCGTCAGATCTTGTTAAAATTACTAGATAACTAAAATGAACCAAAAAGCATTTAATATAAAGATGAGGAAAAACCATATAAGTTCAAGTAGAAGAGGAAGAAATGACAGCGTTTTGAGAACATAATAAAACTGCACTTTTATGCCATGTTATGCATAGAATTAGTACAATTAATTAATTCATGAGGAAATTTTAAGTTGAAGCCAAAATGTTCCAGCTAGTATAATGGTGGAACTGGCGGTGAAGAGATCGCCGAGGTATGTAGTACATATTATAATTCACGCAGCACTCACAAATGATTAGTTTATGAAGCACTATAAAATCAGAATAGTTTGAAGCAAGAAAAGGAATATAAAATCAAAGCTTCATTCTTTTCAGTTCAATGTGATAATAATGCCATTTAGTGTAATAAGACTTCTGCTCTATTCTTATTTTGATTTAAGTATTTGAGCAGCGCTCTCCAGAAAAAAGTTGGTTTTCTTCTCATCATAAATATATGCGTTTGTTCAAAAAGAAAACTAAAGAAAGCTAAATTTTCAAAGCAAAAATATAAAACCAATTCCATCTTAAATCAGTTTTCTTCAACTGATGAATGTTAATACCAAACAAATGAAAATTAAAAATAAGTCAAGTATTTTGACAAATCCTCATTATATTTCAAATATTAAACCATAATCATTTAACAGTCTCAACTATCAGCATACGGCAAATCCTCCACCACCAACTTCACCGGCTCCGACGTCTGAAATCAAAACAAAATTTAAAGTTGAAATCAAATGTCAAATTTATGCACGTAATAAATGCAAGAAGTATGCAGCGAAGAAAGACTACAAATACCAATGAAATTTCTTACTCATTTTAAAGAAATAAAGTAATAACAAATGTATTTCTCTTACAAAAAAAATTCATATTTGGATCTAAGTATTGTTTCTTCTGAAATGTATTCATTCTTTCATTTCCTAGTAGTGATTGAACAATTTCGAACGTCAATTAATTAAAATTTCAGCAAAAACAATTAAAGGAAAGACTCAAAAAACTTTCAAAACAAGAAAATAATTAGGCAATTTGTAAAGAACGAGAACAACACGACAAACAGTAACACAAAGTAACACAAACTAATAGAAACGGCTAAAACGAACACAGGAAGAAAATGGTTTTAAACAGAAAATTTTAGAGGATGATACAGTGCTCGAAAAAAGTGCTTTCCAAGATGAAAAAAATAAAATGCCAGAAATAAAATGATCAGAAAAAAAGAAAAAAGGTCGATATAAGTCTTTTTTCTTAGCTTACAGTGAATAAACTTGCATGACAAAAGTGAAAGAGAAAGGAATGCAACAATGATGAATTCCTCTACAAATATTTTTTTCAAATTAAATTTAAAGGAAAAAAAGTGCTCCATATATGAAAGAAATTAACATTGTGGTAAATAATCCTCCAAGATAATATAATAAAGGTCATTACTGTAGAATGGTCGCTAGTAGTTAACCACTATTGTCCTAAGCAGTGGTAACCAAAAAAGTTTTTTAGTAAAGAAACTATAATGAAAGCTCATTTTTTGGATATTCAAATCGTGGAACTGTTATAAATATAATGAAGCGTTTAAACAGTAATTAACCTAAATTGTTCTGCAAAAATTTTTGCAAAAGTAAGTGATATCACTGAAATTATAATATGTTTACAGAAGTGCAATCTATTTGAGTGGTACTGATACTTATCAGGATTTACTGCAAGGAAAGAGATCGAGTATCACCAGTGATATTCGATCTCTTTCTTCACAGGATAACTTTCTGAAGTGAACAGTTTTAGATAATGATAATTTAACAGAAAATTAATAATGGGAATGCTTCGACTTTTATATTTAGCAAAAAGTTCATAAAGAAGTTATCCTGTAAAGAAAGAGTAAATGCTACCTTGAAAGATACATGAAAAGATATCAAATATCACTTGAGAACATTCATGTTTGTTAGCTTCACCGACAATGATTATGAACACTGAATTCATTCGAAAGAAAAAAACCTAAACATAACAAATTCCAAGGCTCTATCTAATGGCTATAATCAATTAGCTTACAGTTAATGATTAAAATCTGAAACAAACAACTGATTTCGCTGTAGTACACCCTCATATATGAAAGATGAAAAAGTCTGACAGCAAAGTCTAACCGTTTAAATTTTTAGTTAGAAATAAAGCAGTTGCTTCAATTTTTCAACGAGTAGATCAAAGATGTGATTATAAGAATACATTCGAGCAATTACAATACATTTCACTATTTTGGGAGTTACATGGAAAAGAAAGGAAACAAAAAAATGTCAAACTTTATGCGCATGGCCATTAAGCAAATTGGGTGTTTCGAGAGGTATTGTGGTAGTTTCGTTGTGACTCGAATTATCATGCGACTGATTCATCGGCATTTTTTCTATATCTATGACCGTAGCGCCAACACCAGTAACTTTTTGATTTCTTGAATCATGCCACGAGTCTAAATATCCATGATAGGCACCATAATGGGTGTGTCGAGGTAAAGATCGATCCTCCAGTGACTGAAAGCATTTTCTCACGTTGTGTCATTTTGACCAACGGCTTAGCATAAATCACCTTCATTCACTTTATCAGTTATTTCTGGAATTATTTCAAATAGTCCAATTGCTGAATAAAAACCACTACCTATGTGAAGACAAAAGATGCAATAGCATAGCTGCCTTGATGACCTATCCAGGATCTTTTTGCCCAAAATATAATGCATTCCCTTAAGGCCTTTAAAAATTAAAAATCTCTCTTCAGGTCTTTAAAGATTTGAAAAAAAATTTAGGCAATTAAAAATTCTCTTCCAGAAAAAGCCAAGAAAACCAATTTTAAAGTATCATTTACTTAATTTTATTGAGTTGGTATCAATTCCACATCCAAAAAGACGCAAAAAAACTTTCGGAAACAAACCTCAATCCGATGTCCCAAATCACGTTTTCGACGTGCAGCACTACTTCGTCCCTGAGTAAGTTTCACGATCAGAAATAAAAATACCCCGATGACCGTCAAGCAAACCAAAGCAAGTGTCATGTTGCGCAAATCCATGATGTAATTGGTCATTCGGTGCATATCATCGGCAACCTACAAGATTTTCTCATAAATCCCTACATTTTACGACAAAATTACCGGACGTGCATTAGTGTCAAAATTTGCTTTACCGTGATTTAACCAACACAAATAATTATATCGGAAATGACAACAACCTGCATCATCTTCGGAATGCTTTTAAATATAACATTCATGTCTGGATAAGGTTGATGATCCATCATTGTATCTGATTTTGGAGTGCTGTTGTTGCCTCCCATGATGTCAATTGTATAAAAAATATGAAGGCAAGATACGCGTACTTCCAGCGGATAAGTGACTCAATAGAATGCAATGATATCTGAAATTTTCATCATTTGATTGCAAAATTGATAATTCCGCAACGAATTATCAAATCATACAATCAGCAGCCAAAGTTAACTTTAGAAGGCACAATTAAAACTAAAACTGTCATTCCTAGATAGTCTGAATGAGGACAAGAAGCTAGTGAAGATAACGCTGTGAGAACATAAAAGATGCTAACAGAAACGTTGAGTTTCAATAATTGCATACTGGATTTTTGAATTTAGCAAGTATCGAAAAGTGAAAGTGCTCCGAGTAAAATTCAAATTGCACTTATGCTTTTCAAAAAATGAAAGTAGTATTTATGCATTTCGTAATAAAAGCTTCAACAGTGCATGTTGAATTTCAAGTATTTGTGTCTTTCCACTGTAAGATAGTTGGAGAAACAGTTTGTCTAATGAAATGCACAGAATTCTGGCAATGACTGAACGAATGACACATCTATTACTACTGATACCTGCTGCTTTTAACAGAGCAATATGAAGGAGGTCAAAGGTCAGTGCAGTTATGTAGCGTTTTTTATCTGTGACTCGTCAACCATCTTTGCGGCAAAAACTAATCAATGTGTCAACAAAACGAAGTCTAAATTCTCAGAATCAGATATGTGTTTAAATGATTACAGCACTAAGAGATTAAATAGTTACAGCACATCGAAAAAACAACTTTCGAATATCGCACGCTCGTTCTAAATTCTTTTTTCTTCACAAAATGTACAGTTAATAAAAGTAATATAAAATAAAAAACAAGGATAATATACTTTGCACTAGTAAAAATAAAGCGAGCATAATATAATGCGGCACAAACGAGGTTTTAAGACTGAATGATTTTTAATGACATTAAAACAATCAGCATTGTCATACATTTGCAATTCCAATCACAATTGGATAAATCAAGAGTAGAAAGATGGAATTTGACGCCATAAAAATGATATTACTTTAATTTTAATTTAGTCAACAGGATGACAAAGCTTTATTTTATTAAGAAATAGCTAAATTGACATACGTTACTAAATGAGACATATCATCTATCCTTTGTCTATCTATCTATTTGCGTATTTATCTATTCATCTGTCTCTACACATTTACCCTTCATTGATCCAACCAATTATTTATTAAATCGAAGGGAATTTTTAAAACAAAATGTATGTGGTTTTGGTATTATTCTCGTGTCAAAAATTATTAAATCCAAATATTAATATATTATTAGTTTGGCAGTCTTCAGAAAATGTTGGTTTATGAGTTTATTAAAATGAAGAGTAATTCCACATCATTGTCAACTTAGGGTCTTTCTATCAATTTTGCAGGATAAAATCTATCTATCCAATACTTCTAAATTCATTAGATAGCCACTAGCAGAATCTAAACAAGAGTTTTCAATTCAAAGCTTCCAAAAAAGCCAATATTCTCCATATTTCTGGTAGAACAAGTACAAACCTCGGTGACCCTGATAACGAAAGGTCAATTGATTCACTTATACAGCACATCCTTGACTTATATAGCCCAATCCGTTTGTCATCCTGCAAACTTATTTAAATCTTAAATCCCACAATAGCAAAACGCGTTCATCTGGCTGATTAGACTGTTAATGCATTCATACAACTGCAATGTCAGGAGATATACAATTCAGTTGAGGAATTTTAAATATAAAAAGAACAAAATTTTAAATATGAAAAGCAGAAAAAGAAGAATTTAGCAAAAATAAGCGAAAGATTCCCCAAGGAGAGGCGGTAAAGTTTTTAGGACTCCACGGCTATTTAGTGTTTTCCTATTTCGGATTATTTCTATAAAAAGCAAAGCAATGCAATGAAAGAACAATAATAAGTAAAGAAAAACAGCTATATTAATTAGAGATAAACCAAATTACCGCTCGATGAGACGTTCAATCAATTTTTTTGAGCTGCAAACAGAATGCTTAAAACTATCAATACAAATACAAATTACACTATAACGCTTCCGATATTAATATCACTCATCGAGTCAATTTCTCTTGTATGGTGAACCAAGAAATGTGTCCAACTCTTATTTCGGGCTGAGAATTTTATTAATTGTCCATATAAGTTCATATCAAACTGAAATATCTAAATACTACTTGATCCACAATTAAATTCATCCCTAATCTTTTTCAGAACCTATGGATATTGACAATATCAGTTACCTTTTTATGGCATTATCACTTAAAGCAGAAGCATCAGAATGGCTTATTGTGACTTGCTGACTTAACTGAATAACTACAAAAATTAAAGTTCAATAAAAAATCCGAAGTAATAGTAAATGAAAAAAAGTGCAGCTCATGATACTCAGTACCTTGGGAATTACACGAATTGCTATAATAATCTTGAATAACACTTCCCACTGAATGTTTTGAATTTTAAAACCTAAATATAAGAACTCAGAACTGATTACTTCGATTGAAATTTACTCCTAAATTTAATTCTAATCTTTTTATTCCGTAATACAAATTAAATCAATTAAAATTTTTGGACAAAAATTCTCAATTTTTGTTTCTGCAAAAGCCTTTTATTACTTTCTTTTTCTCAGTTCTACTTCGTATCTCTAAACTCACCAATAAACAATTTGTAATTTTAATATGGTTCACTTCCGCTGATCCTAAACAACAAATGAATTTAGTCCCAACATTATTACATCTGTTGACGGATAGTTTTATTAATGAATGTTAAATACACTCAATCTTTTTGAGTTTCAACGATAGCTATATGAGAATATAAAATTAGAAATATTTTATCTCACAATGACAGGAAAAACGAGGAGCAGAAAGCAACAAGAAATCGTTAAGAATTACGCATCAAATACTTAATTAAATACTCTAATACTGTTACAATTTGCAATAAACAAACAATAACAGCATTTTTCATTTTTTTTTCTTCGATCTTATTAGATCATTCACAGTTGATAGTATCATAAAGCAATTAATAATACGAAAAAATTATGAACTCAGCCAAGGTGTGGAATGCAATAATCCCATTTTTCCACTATTAGAGAAGAGATAAAATTTAACAGATGTGAAACAAAACAAACATGATACTAACCTTACGATAATAACCAAATAAGCTGGAACTTGTAATAACTGGAGTAAAAACACACACCAGTAGACAAAAATTACTTCAGATATGCTTTTGAAAATTGAATTTGGCGAGTTCAGTTCAACTGAGAATTCTGCAGAGTAGTTCTAGAAAAGTTGCATGAAGTAAAGATACTTGTTCATTATTTATAGTACAAAAAGCGGGCATTAGTAAGCGCTCTCGTTGATACATATGAAGTTGCTAGATGTTATCATTATCAACAAAACAAAAATAAGGTTAAAATGCTGAGAACAACTGAATTGTTTTTTAAACTTTACTGATAACCTCAAGCTACAGAATGCTTCTCAGAAGTAACCTTAGCATCGACGTTTGTTGAATTTAAATTAAAGAACATTGTGATTTCTTGAAAGTTGCGTAGTTAGCCATGAAAATGTAATATTCATTTCCACATCTTCTTCTAATTTTATGATCTGGAAAAGACTAGAATTGAATGGTTCACTTCTATAAAATATATAGAAATGAAAAAGCTGTTCTAATCATTTTCTGGGGGAAAAATTTTTTTTTGCATTTAGAAAATGTATATACTTTTTAAATCTAAAAATTTAGGGTGATGGGAATCGTATTTCATGTTAGCACGGCCTCGACAAAAAAATGTTTCTAATAGAAGACCTTCTACTATTCGGTGAAAGTAAAAAAGAAATCTGCTATCGTCAACATCAATCATGGACAATATCAAAGATTCCTGGTTGATAATTCCGTTCAGTTTTGTGTAAATTATAGCAAAAGCAAAGCGCCAAGCCACTGTCAATTTTGCATCTCAGAGAATGTACTACGTAAAAAAGTAATGCGCTTTAATCACATATGCGATAATATATTTTTTAAGAAATAAAAGAAAAAATCAGACATTCATCAAAAAAAAAAGCTGAAATTATGAAAAGAAACGAAAATAAAAGAAAGACGTGGCAATATGAATGACTCGTTTGTTGTACAATCAATCTATCATCAAATGTTCCCTTTATGAAGAGTCCGGATAACCGGATGAGATGGGATATATATCCCATCTATAATTACAATTGCAAAATAAATCTTTACTTGAGGAAAGGAACAAGAGAATAGAATATCAGACAGTTGGCAAGATGGGTGAATGAATTTCTAACATATCGTTCATCTTCTCTCTTCTCTTTCCCTCCTTCGTCGTAGACACACTGCACATCATCTGACTAATACCTTCTAGCATTGCTGATTTCATTTCAATTCAGCCAAATGGCTATTTACTTCAAGAGTTGTAATAACCAACAATCTTATAATAACAATTAATCACGGAGGTAATGTACGGAATGTGATTCTAACGTGTTCTTGAGGTTCTCCGCTTTCATTCTCTCATATTATGCTTTCTGAACTAGAATTTTTAGGAATGAAATCTAGTAAGCTTAAGAAGGACACGTTAGTATTAAACGTAACCTCAAGTAAAATAGAATACTGAGATACATTCTATATTTTTTCTCATAATTATAACTTTTTTATAAGTCTCAGTAAGACAGTTTATAAGCAATGTCAAACATCAGTTTCATTCATGCAAGCATTAACTACTAACAAAGAGTAGAAATGGTAAGTTAAATAAAACGTGAAAAATAAACAGTAAACAATACTACAAGGGAACAGAGTGGAAGATTTGGGTGAAGAAAAATGCAAGAATTAATATTGCAGCATTAAAATTGGCATTACTTTTCTCACCTACAAGTAATATTAATCTTACATGACTGACCTTCCATCGCTACCTGTCTCTTTCAGTAGAGCCAGCAAAAATCAGTTCCCTTCTTTTTGATGAATTAAGAAAAGTAGAGAGAGAGAGAGAGAGAGAGAGATATTATATATAAATAGACACCTAGAAACTAATTATTATCATACATTCATGTCCACTCATTAAGCCTAATTCCTGTTCTCTTCAAGATGCTTTTCCACTTCAGTTGTTGAAAACGTGTAATAGTTACACTGAACATAGCGATTTAATACACATCTAGACATTTTACACATAACAGCGACTGAAAAGTGTCCAACTCAGATCTGTATCTTATCAGATTATCAGTGATTCAATTCAATTCCAAAACCCATCGCAACATATCCATGCTTATTTTGTTATTTCAGATTGCTGCACTCATTACATGAACTATAACTCGTGTTTCGCTACTAATCAGTTTAACTTCCATCAAATTACATATTTAAAATAAGTCCATCCACAGATGTATTAACTTCATAATCAAATATTAGCTAAAAAACAACAAAAATTTAAAAATGGATGTTGATAAGTGGCATTGTCAAACGCTATTGTCACTTGAAATTTTACTAAACTTAGCGACTACTTAGTTTTCGGCTAAATTTAATAAAACTTTGAGACAAAATGTTTTTTAGTCTTTCCTAGAAGGTCTAGCTTATTTGAAAGACCGACTCGACTCAAGAAAAAAATTTAGAAAAAAGAAATGCTGTAAGTAACTCTAAGATCAGATATGGCCTGCTATCAGGAAGTGTTTTAAAGGCCCGTGTTATAAGTTACATAACCGACAAAGCAGTTTAAACTAAATTCCAAAAAAATAATGATTTTAACTTTAGCATAATAGGCAATTGTTTTTCCGGTTAAATTAAATATTTCTCACTCAATTTTTTTTTGAGCTTCTAATTTCTCACTCAAAGTCATGCTTAAGCAAAATTTGAAAGCGATTCTTCTGGAGACAAAGCTTCATTATATTCCGCTGTAATCTAATATTTCATTGCCTTATCGCAAAAAGGTAAAGTAAATGATTCAACTTAAACAAAAAAGAATTTAGAACAGATAGCGCAGTAAACAATTTATAATCGATAAGGTCGTTTGGCTAACAATGAGGCGTTTTGAAGCCATAAACACAGCGAATCCAACAGTGGCAGTGTTAAATGATTCAGAGCATATAATGAATGATTGATTCATTGGAAAGAGCAATACGGCATAGCTAACAACTAGGCTTCGATTGTCAACCAATTTCACAACTTATGAATATCTGAAAGTAAAGAAAAATGGGTTGTGAGTGATACGTCGCACAGTTAACCAATTTCCTTCAATTATTATTATTATTATTATTATTATTATTATCATTATTGATATAATACTTCTATCAAGTTATTATTGTTTATCTTAATGAGGCGCTGTTGATATAACTGACTCTCATGCAGTCAGTAAGAGCGCAACTAAGAAATTTTTATCAACCATCCATCACACTTATTCGCCTACTTAAAATACTTCATTAATAGCGTCATTCTTTCATTTCCTCCATGTTAGTTTCTCACTTCTAATATTCCTTTGGTACCATAGCATTCAAACGAATTTGATATGAAAATGAACAAGAGGCTTACAAGCTGTGAGAACTTGCTATTTGACACTTCATCTCCACAAAGAAATCCCTAAGCTTTTATGCTTATAAACATTGTTCATGTTAGAAAATACGATAATTACTCACTCAATGGCCTAATTACATCGTGAACAAAAACAATGTATTTAGAATCACTTTCCGGTAGAACTCTCAGCTATAAGTATTGAAGATGACCAGTTCAATGTAATCTGCCTTGACATTTGATTCCTATTTTCACTTTTCTAAATTTATCATTTAAAAAATTTATTATAAGATTTAAAAACAGATAAGAGTGAGTTTTTAGGTATTTTTGGTTTCAAACATACATAAATCCCGACGTATTATTATTGTGTAGAAATATGCAAATTTTGTTTGCATATTTCTACAGTTGGAAATAGGAAGTATGTTGTGTTGGGAAGTATTAATGGACATAGAGGTTATTGTTGATTCAGTTGTGCAAATATACAGGTTATCCCTATAGATCGTCTAGCTTCGGACAAGTTAGCCGCATCGGTTCGCATAACAAAATGGCTAACCCAAACATTAAAAGCCTTTGTAACATCTTCAGACCACACCAGCATCCGCAATTTAACGAATCTATGTCAAGCTCTAGGATAAACTAAAATTTGTTGACCTAAGAGGAACGAAATCTGAACTCGACTAATAGCTTTCATCTGTATAAGCTCTCCTTCCACTTTAATATTGTGTTTTCAGCATATTCTAACCATCCTTTCAAATCCAATTGTTCTCGCTTACAGAAGAAATACTTCTTTTCTCTCAAAGTCAAAATAATAAAAGAATTTGGTGGAAGCGTTAGTTCTCCTTGGAGCTGAATATTTTGAAACAACAATTTTCTGGATGGTTATCCCATTTTTCTTGTCATTGTTGTTTGCTGGTAAGTAGTTTAATTTATCTATTTTGGATCACAACGGGATACAACTTTACTGTCACACAATGTTGCTAGTTCCATTTTACAAGAAAATTAAAAAGATTTCCTCCTAAAATTTCTCCTACAAAAAGATTCTCTTACAAAAAAAAAAGTCTCGTAACAAACAGTTTGGGAGAATGTTGAGAATTCATCAATAATTAATATTATTTAAACTGATTTCTGAAATAACTATGTTTTTCTGAAAGCCAACTAAGATCTCAATATGTTTTCTTATACAATTTCTGAATTTGCAACAACTATTTTCTGCGTATTACATATGTAATAAGTAGGAAATAGTTGTCACTTTAATTACCATTCATTCCCGGTGCTTCATTAAAAATTTTAAGTAATTTGGTTGAAATGTTTTCATTCATTTTTTTTCTAAATAATACAAAGTAAAGAATGTTTAATATGGCTGAAAATCTTGATACTCTTTATTCATAAAGAATTGGAACATTTCTATTCACTTTATTAAAAATTCTGAATAATTAAGTAATGAATAGCTATAATAGTCTTGTAAGATTGGCAATACATGGAATTGTTATCTACGTTTAAATATCCCTGTTAATTTTTGAAATTTAACTCAGGACTTTTTAGAGAATGATAATGGTAATCTTGATTAATCAGTGAATAACTTTAAAGATATTTTGTTTGTCAGATCTTACTTGTCATTTTCACTAACAAGATAATGAGAAGATTGAAGTGAAGAAAAGTTTTGCGAGAAACGGAAGCAACTGTGCGCCCATAATAAAAAGGCCACTGAGGGGTCATTGAAGATGGCAGTAGTATAAAAGAACTTTTGAACTCCAAATAACCTTTGTACTTCTGCTTCACCCTCCATTCAGAATGCTATCAGTTACATATCTCTTTTTTATGAATACCATTATTTTATTCCCCAAGTTATATTTTCTTGAGAATTAGCAGAAATTACTGACTATTTTATTCCCCAAGTTATATTTTCTTGAGAATTAGCAGAAATTACTGACCTCAAAATTTAGGTTCCTCGCCAGACAGAGTACCTCATGTCGGTGAGATTGGGGCCTTTTGTGACCCACGTAATTTGCCGTGTACAACTCCAAATACTTTTTGCGTCAATAATATCTGCGCCTGCTCACCAATGTACGAAGAGGTCAACAAAGAGTGTATCTTAAAATCAAGTAATATGGGATCGTTTTTATGAATTTTGGATATTTATCTCTAAATATTTGTTAGGAAGTTGCTAAGGAATGTGAACTATATAATTTTCTTAATCAATGCCATGCAATTATTTGATTTTTAAGTTCGACAACTTTTTGTAAATCTCCTTTTCATTCATCTTTCAGAATAATAAGTAATGCTATAAATATTAGAAAGGTTCATGTCCTAATTTCATTACATATTCTCATCTGTTTTTAGGTAAAACTCTGGCATCGAAATGTAAAACATCGGATGAATGTACGGGAAAGGGAGAATACTGCAATAGGGACAGTGGAAAATGCTGGTGCTTATCAACACATTTCGTCCTAGGCGGAAAGTGTAAACCAGGTAACTATAAAGCTATTTCAGCATTTTACTTTATCACTTATCTTTGTAGGATGTTTTTTTATGGAAATAAAAAAAAAAAAGCTTTATAGAAAAAAGTCTTTATTTTAAATGTTTTAAAAATCAAAAAAAAAAAAAATTGTTTTGTAAAAATAGAGCTTGTAGCATGATTTAATAAGTTTGAGCCAATTTTTTTCCCTACAGAACCTAGCAACTATAACATAAAGGATAAAAAACGAAATGAAGAAATCAGTAAATGAGAAAAAGTTCAACTTGAAATGAAAGAGAAAGATGAACGCATAATATCTCGAACACTTTCCAACATATTTTAGTAATTTATCCGGGACAAAAGGGTTGTGAAGATTCAAGACAATGTGCTAAAGGTTATCCAGGTGCTATTTGCAGTCAGAATAAATGCCACTGTCCAAAGGGTTTTAAAGCTAAGGCATTCAGTTGTTTCAAAAGTTAGTTTTATACAAGCTTCTTCTTTCATTGATACCGTACTTATAAAAATATCAAGTTCGAAGAGGACCTTTAGTCCATTTCTTTTTTTTTATCCTTGCGCAAATATTTTAAGCATTTTATAAAAAGTAAAACTAAGTTCTCTCTGTACAGGTATACAAATTCTGAAATTCCAACCTACAACTTTATAACTGCTATAGTAAGTGATTTTTGTTTCCCTTTGCTTTGCCGTTAAAATCTCATAGCAGAGCAATAGTTCTGTAGATAAACGATATACTCCACAACGCAAACGATCGCAACCGCCCTCTATGAGCGCTTACGACCAAATTAGTTTTACTGAAAAAGCAAAATATAACCTATCCGGCTTCCCAACAGGTTAATAATTGATTGAAGTTAATATATTCTAACGTTAATATTTCTATTTTGTCACTTGCTTGATATTTAAAATCTACTAAATAATTCTGAATTTAGAATAATTAACTAGCATTATGAAAATCTGAAATGATTTCTTTTCCTTATGTCTTTTAATTTCCAGTATTTAGCTAAAACTATTCAGTTAGGTGACAAATTGTAAACACTTTTCTAAGAGTAGTTGAGTGATTAATTTTTACATACATAAGTGCATAAAAGGCTTAAAGATAATTTAATGATAAATATTTGCATTGATATTGTTATTGCCATAATCATTAATCAAACATTGAGGGAAATCTGTAATTGTTGCAGCGGTGCATGAATAACAGGAGCCAATCGTGTTAATCACACCTGTTCTGAATTTCTACTAGCTTACTGTGACGGAAGATGCAAATGCTTAGTGAATTAATTTAATACCAAAATAGGTTGCATGGATAATATTTCATATAAATTCCGGATTACCAATCATTTTTGAGATTCTTTTTAATTTGCTCTGTGTTCAAGCTTTTGTGAAATTTCGATCATTTCAGTGCACCGAACAACCGTTTCATTTTTATGCCCTGTACAGCAAGTATTTATAGAAGAAGTTGGCATTTGTATGACAAGTAAGTATTTGCATCTTTCAGAGCTTTCTAATTCAAATCTTTCATTAATTTTATTCACTTTTCAGCACGACTACCGGGCGAATCTTGTCATTACTCTGAACAGTGTATAGCAACTGAACCGGGAGCATTTTGTCAGAAACTGAAATGTACGTGTGCTCGGGGAATGAAATTCAGTGGAAATTCATGTACTTTAAGGGATACAAAGTGTTCTATTCATGGTTATGTTTGGGTACCTGAAGTGGGCCAGTGTATGCAAGGTATGGTATCTTAATAAGGCACAAAAATTACTAACAGATCAAAATAGAAACAGCGTAAACAAAGTTTTCAATATTTCCGGTTTTCTGTCTTCACGGTTTGATGGAAAGAAGATTTAAAGGAATCATCGAAGTTAGACTATTGTTTTATCTGTTATTTTAAAGCAATTTTTTAAAGAAATTTTGTTGAATACATTATCTTTCATAGCTTTTAGGTGCTTAGAAGACAAAAGTTGTTCTATCTTCTAAACCTGTCATTTTTTAGTGCTACCACCCGGTGCAAATGGTTGCAGTCACTCAGTACAATGTTCAGCAGCCGTTGATGGCGCATACTGTTTTCGGCATAAATGTATGTGTCCTGGGAAACTAATACCGATTAATGGGATATGTGCGGTGAAATGTCACGAAAACATGACATTCTCTGCAATAGTTGGAAAATGTATATCAGGTACAATTTACTTCTCTGATAAAGCATAAAATATTAATTTGCATGTTTAATCGATCATCTACTTGACGCACTGATGTTGGCGTTAATCATTCTTTTAAGTTTATTGCTTTTTCAAATAGGTACAATTATTCTGTCGGTATCAGTGATTAGGTCTAGCTTTTTTTTCCAGCTGTTAAACCAGGAAGGCAATGTCAGTACTCATCACAGTGTCAAACAAGTAACGCTGAAATGATTTGTATTCGAGGAATTTGTCGTTGCTCTCTGGGTAAAGTATTCACAGGTGACAGGTGTGCTGAAAATTGCCTTCAAGGTCATATTGTCGGTAATAACGGAATATGCAAACAAGGTTGTTTTGAGAAAGTTAAATGTCTTGAGAATTTTCTGATATTTAAAATTTTCAGTTTTAATTTGAGCTAATTTAATTATAAGCAGGTCACTGTGAATTCCAGTTTTTCTAAGATTTTTTTGTGATTGAAATTCTTTTTTACAAATTAAATTTCTTTTACAAAGCTAACCTTATGAACTTCAAATTCAATTACCAGTGGTAAATGCTTGCTCAATTGGAAGTGAGCAATGTCTGAGTAGCTCAAGCTGTTCTTCCGGTATATGCGAATGTCCGTTTGGGACAGTATCAAAATCCGGTGAATGTTTATTAGAACGAAGGGTTCCCATTGGTTTTCCTTGTAACTCTACTCAAATTTGTCTCGGAATTGCAAATTGCATTGATGGCATCTGTCAGTGCCCAATGGGTATGGTTATACAGGTTAGTATTATTGAATACTGAACTGTTATTACCAAATATTTATATTTCCTTAGCGTCATTTCTAAATCCTTGCATATTTAATGTTTCAATTTAAAAAGACATATAGAATGGGAAGTGTCGTGACTTTATGTTAAGTGGTGCTGGAGGTAGTTGTGCTAGCGGAGAATTATGCAGCGGTGGATCGATATGTACCAAATCGGTTCGATTTTGAGATATTTCTCATAGTGGTATTCTTTTTTATATTTTAGAAATGAATGTGTATAAAGAATGGTAGATTTCGGAAATAAGAAATAACTTTTATTTATAGATCTGTTTATGCCCAACTGGTACAACAAACCAAAGTGGTCTATGCGTACCTGAACAAAAAAGTTTGTTTTTCTAAGTGTCTACTTCAATAAGCTTACTATTTGTGCCTGGCAAGAGATGTCATAAGTAGCTGATTTCATTTATTCATTGGAAATTTTTTTATTCGCAAAATAATGTCCTGAGAAGTTCGTATTTGAAAACTGAATTTAACAATTGAAAATATGAATTGTTAAAAGCTAAAAAAATACGAAAGATACTGATAAAACGTAATGTTCAGAATTTTTTCTCTTTCCAAGAAAATATGAAGAGACATGTATAAATGGAGGAACATGTTCTGGTGATTTACTTTGTATCGATGGGATTTGTCAGTGCCCGCAAGGGACATTCTTGAATAATAGACAATGCATAGCATCAACAGGTGCACGTCATATTGGAGCTTTACCCACAACATTCAAATTTTAACGATGTTTGACTAATAGAAATATTATGTTTGTTTTGATTTTATTGATATCTCAATGGAATTTAAAAATTTTCTATGCGTTTTGAATACTAAATTTTATTGCAGGTAAATGCTCGAATTCCTTGCAGTGTGGAGAAAACTCCTATTGCGATCACAAAAGCGGTCTTTGTATTTGCCAAGGTTTGTTTTTTTTTTAAAAAGCCAGAACTAATTAAGCAGTTTTACTATTGTTCAGTCATGTTCATATCTGTGCATTATCTCACCTTGGAGTTTCATCTTCGTTATCAGGTGAGTTATTAACTTGTTTCTAAAAACGGCTAGATTTCAGATGGGCACCAGTACTGGAATCAGTCCTGTATACCAACGTTTTCACGTACGTTAATATCACCAATCAAAACATGTATCATCAATGCCGATTGCATAGCTGGTACGAAGTGCGTCGCAAACAGGTAAAGCTTTTTTATTTAAATCGTAAGGGACAAAAAAGTGATGGAATCTCGAAAATGACTTCCATCAAAATTTTTAAAATCTCTCCACTAAATATTCTGAAAATTTGATTTCGCCATCTGTCATATTTTCCATTTAGGAATGGAAGAAGGAATGTTGATGAAAAGTTAACAATGAATATGATATAGAGCTGAAAAGAGCTTCAGAAGCAGGAATATGTGTTAAAATTGTTTTAATTTGGCTGACTGCTGTAAACTGAATAAATTTACAGATGTCATTGTCCAGCAGGTGAGATTTTTACGGAGGGTAGATGTCAGATGGTTTTTGCTGAACCTGGCGAATCTTGTTTTAATGGGGAAACTTGCGTATCAAACTATGTTTGCATTAATGGTTCATGTTCATGTCCTGATGGTGAAGTGTCGAAGGATGGCAATTGTATTACAGAGGATACTGAAATTAAGAAGTATACCAGCTACCAAGGTAAATTTCCATTACCTTTCATTAGCTGTTCACTCCCGCTCCACCGTTCTACTGCTATTTTTTTTTTTTAGTCTTTGCACTTAATATCCAAAATAAGGATGATTACTCCTGAAACTGAAACACGATGAACTTAAAAATCCCTTTTTATCTAAACTCTGGATTTTAATGTGTTTCTGTTTTTAGCCGAGCCTAATTCTCCCTGTAACAGGGGTGAACTTTGTATCGGTGGATCATTTTGCAATGTTATGGATGGACTTTGTCGATGTCCTGCGGATACTATCTTGCAAAGTGGAAGATGTGAATTCACTAATGGTATTATAATACTTGCAATTAGAAAAGCAAAGGAATATTGCATGCCACTTCTTAGCTATTCACTTTGCCTATATTTAGAACAATTGCTTTTCACGCTTCCGCCACAGTACATTTTTAATCGAAGTAAGGACATGCTAAGGAGATCATCGAATCATACTAGAATCAATGTAACTCGAGTAACACTTCGTATAAATGGTTGCGAAAGTAACGATGATTGCCACGGCGGCTCTTACTGTTTTGGCCACCGATGCGTTTGTCCCATTAATATGATCATGAAAGGTGGCTTATGTCAGAGAATGTTCCCGACTTCACGTGAGAGAGGTTTTTTCATTTCCTATAATTCCTAACAAAATATGAAGAAAAGTGCCTGTTGAATTCTTTCAATTTTAGATTCTTAACTTCCAAAAAGAACTCTTTTTTGCTGTGGTCAGTGCATATTTTCATGATCTTGTTTCTTGCTTTTTTAACACTTCTTTGATAAATCTAGAAAAAAGTATCCTTAACTTTTTTGATGATTGATTTTCTCAGCGGGTAGACGATGTTCAGCAAACTACGATTGTGTAATGCATAATACAGTATGTCAGAAGGGAGTATGCGTCTGCCTTTCTGGATATGATTTGTTTGGAGGTACAAAATGTATACCAAAAGCAACACCCTTCCTTAAAACTTACCGACAAACAGTAATACCAGCAGTAACGACAGCAATTACTCCTATGAGCAACAGTATTGTCGAGAACAGTAAAACTGATGAAATGGTAACAGATAAAGTGATAAGTCCAGAGAAAGAAATTAAACCAGATGAAACAAGCCTTGGTTCTACAACGTTCACAGCTTTATCACTAACTGACGTTGGCAATGAACGTATACCATCGAGTCGGCAAACTGAAGTAATCGTAAACATATCAGGTGGCGTTTGCAACGAAACAACACTCTGTCTGTTTTTCTCCGTCTGTCGTAGCGGTATTTGTAAATGTCCTTTGGGTACTCGTATCTCCGACACAGAATGCAAATTTATGGTTGATGGTAAGTTGTTTCGTTTCTTTCTTTTTTTTTCGCATCATACTGATTGTTTATTTTTTGTGAATAAGTGTATCATTCCTTCTAAAGAGTATTCAGATTAAGCGCAACTTCAACGATTCCTGTTAAATATTTCGTGATATCACACAATGTCATCCCGATACTTTATTCAGTTATTTTAGAAATTCAGATTTGTGATTTTTTTACAGAATTTTAGAGCACAGAGTTGTGCGAGGCATTGTTAGGTTCATTGCAGGATAGGCGAATGATGTATTTCGGGATGAATTGTTTTTCTTATCATTATGAATATTTCTTTTTTTGTTTGCTTTTTCTTCGTTTGTTAGGTTGCAATTCCAACAATTTAAGTAAGTCGCCTGCGACAATTCGAGAAATTATTGCATAATGGATATTCGCTATTAGCGTATTCGAAAGGTGCTACAGTTCCGTTTAAGTCGCAAACAACCCATTCGTTATCTTTAACAGCTGCAAGTCAGTCTAATTCAACTGTAAAAGTTATTACAATGCCAGCGAATCGGATTCGGAGTATGAAGGAAGTGTGGCCAACGACGCAGCCACAGATACAGCCTAAACTTGTAACATCGATGAGCAGTTCGTTTCTGCTTTATCTTTTATTAGGACAATGAAATTAGTCAAGTTACCATGGTAACACTCGAACGAGAATAGTGTACTAATTTTTGCCGATAGCTTCGCCCTACACTAAATATTAATTTGCACAGAAGCATCGCGTTTGGGCGCTTATTGTGATGATGAAAAAGCTTACTGCGCAAATGGTTCAGTATGTATTGAAAATCAATGTGTGTGCGAGTCTGATGATGTAATGATTGACAATATGTGTGTTCCACGTGTTCATGGTATTTCTAATTAATTGAAAGCCGAACTGTAATAAAACTCATCCAAAAATACTCAAAACATTTTTTTTTTTTGTTTTCAGTTAAGAATTTTTGCTAATTTAGCTAGAAATAGAAGCTTTTTTCTTCAAAATTTTCCCCAGAGAAATTTGATTTTTAGCTGAATGATCAAAATTTTCCTCATCATTATAGCCATTTTCATTATTTCAGAAGTTTAGCTTTAGCTAGATGAATAATTCTTATTATTAGTAGTTTACTGTTACAGTTCGATGTAAAACATCCCGGCAGTGTCCTTCTCGGGCACAATGTATCCACGGTTTATGCTCTTGTGTCTCAGGTACTGCTATGTCTCGATATGGCTTCTGTATACCAGTGAATATCGGTCTGTTTTCTTTCACAGTCTCTTTTATGAAAATTTTCGGCACTTTATTCCATTTTCAATCTCACAAACAGATTTTTTTGTGCTGCAGATAATTTAATGTGGTTAAGGTCAGTGCCAATTTATTCACATAGAAAAAGGTCTGGAAAATGAAGAGAATGAGAGCACTAATATTTGAAATTTGATTTTAAAATCTTTAAGAATCACATCCTGGAATGCCTTGTTCTGATGGAGAGACGTGCAGTGGATTTTCGAAGTGTATCCGAGGGTTGTGTACCTGTCCACCTGAGAAGAATAACATCGTTGATAATGAATGTGTTAAAGTTCGTGGTGAGAACATTTTGTCATTAATAGGTTGAATCAGTAATGTATTTCCAAAATCCTGAAGTAGATAAATTTAAGCTTTAAGTATTTTATAACTTTTGTAAAAAGCAATTCTTAGACCGTATATATATATATATATATATATATATATATATATATATATATAGTTTTCTTCATCGGCAAAACAAAGTTTTGGATTCATTGCAAAGATAATCCCTATGAAAAATCTAAGAAATTAAAACTTAAACGCTCACAGGGCACTGTACCTTCCGGACATTATTATTGCATGATGTGCTGCACTGTGTGACCTTTTGGCACTTTAATATTTATCAACGCTGCTAATGTTTGATCTCTGCTTCGGCTTAACGTAGTATTAACCGTCGTGCTTCTTACTTTTTGAAGTTCATCGTTGACAAACAATTGAGAAATGATTTTAACCAGAAAATACGACACAAAATTCATTTGTTTTCACGTGAAGTTTTCACGTTAGTACGAATAATCACCGAAAGGCTTGCAGAAGAAGAACAAAATAAAGTAAGTTAGATTAGTTTTTGCGTCATAATTTATGTTCTATGGTTATTCTCTTCAACAACAATTCCCAGTCTTAATCTACTGTGAGAAGAAAAGATATTTTTTTTATTTTTGAAGTTAACATTAATTATGGCTTTCTTCGAATCAAACCTTCAAGTTTTGGTTGCTTTATCCTTTATAAGCCTTTTTGTCATTCTAAATGAGTCAAAAAAGAGATGTGTGAGATAGAAACTTATTCAATAAATTAAAATTTGAATCAAATTAAGTAGACTTGTGAAAAAAGCAAAAAACTCTCATCAAAGCAATATTAACGCAGAAGAATTCCACTTGATGGTTGCGACAGCTCAATCAATGGTTGGTTAGAGGTATTTGCATTCGAAAGAAGTGTCCGTATGGTTTTGCTAGGTTTTGTGTCAAGGACAGCGGAGCAATGGAAATAACCAGGGTTTGTACAGTGGTTCTTTGCATAAACTATTATCAAATTCTCATTTGAATATGGCAATCCTATCATTTCTCTTCATGCTATTATTATATTTTGGTTCACCATGGCATTGTGTAGAAATGTATGGTGGTAAAATATCGTTTGTCAAACTTTCACTTTTATAACATCTTTGGAACAGGGAAGTGAAATCTCAGTCATCGAACTGAATGAACTATTTTTCTTTTGAAAATTCAGATAGTGAAGCTAAAAGAATGACCTTTCATACACCATTCCTTAAGAATTTTAAGTCCGTAAAGAGACATTTTTGTTTAACCCGCGTTTTTCAACAAATTTTTGCACGATAATTCAATTTATCAATAAGAAACTTTTTGTACACCAGTTAAAAAATTTTTTAGTACAGTTGAGTGATCAGTTTAGTAGCTTATATTTAATAAACTTGGGTATTTTTTAGGCTCGATACCACTGCTTTTATGTACGCATATGACCAAGAAGGTGAATTCTGCGAATAACTGGGAAGGAGAATTTTGTAAAGACTTAAAAACAAAATCAATATTATATAATATATTCCAAGCGATGAATATAACTAGTTTTTTAATTTTAAATGATTTTTTCATTCCTTCATGTTAACTTCGACATTAACATTGGATGTTATTTTAATGCTATCTTTTATGTTTCGCTATTTGCACATCGGTGATTTAAAGAACAATTAAATGTCTACTTTTATTCACTTCCTACTCTACTTTCTTTGTCAAACACATCCACGAGTACAGTTTGAAGGAAGCTTTCCGTTTTGCTTTTCCGTTACACTGTCTAATAGGTGAGCTGCCGCTATGGGAAATACAGAGTGATTGTACATTCTATATGATGACTACTCACTTTTACAAATCATAACCTAATAGATTTTTATTTTCAGAAGAAAATAGTGGTTGCACACTTGATCCAACTACATGCCGTAATGGTACATATTACTTAAAAGCTTATGTATATGTCCCACTGGTCACACTTTCTTTCCAACCAAAATAAGAGTTCATCAACTAAAATATAGTAAAGATTATGTTCTCCTTGACCATAGAGATATGGGAAAATGCACTTTATGGTGACGAATATTATCGATTAGTCTCTTTGTTAGACTATTCACTGATCGAAATTTTTAGTAAATTCACTCAGCAAGTTCTAGTGAATGTTGGTGGACCTTGCAATGAAAATGATATAAGAATACAATGCTCGGGTAACTCAATATGTGCAAATGGCTTTTGCACTTGTCCAAGCGGAGAACGAGTTGTCAGTGGTATTTGTATTCCCATCAATTCACAAGGTCAGTATCTTAATTACTTCTCTTTTTCAGCAATGAACAGAATTCTTGAGAAATTGACTGAAGCAGAAAGCAGTGCATTTCTATTTTTGGAAAACAAAGTTTTTCAAAAAGATTAGTACGAATAAACAAAAGTAACAGGAGATATGAAAAGGAAGGCATTCAATAATCCGAATAAGAAATGATGGTATAAAATTACTTTTGGAAATTTCTCGACAGGAAAGGTCTCTTCTGGTATTTCCTACCATCTGATCCATAAAGTTTTCATGCAGAAAAGAACAATTTTGATTGCAACAAATTAAAAGACAGCTTCAGAATGTTATCATCCCCGAACTACAGTACGCTTCATGTTATGACGCAACTAGATGTCCCATATGGCTAATCATCAGTGCTAATAGACTCACAGTACCTTAGTATAGTTGGATAAAAATCTATCTTGTAATTGAGTTTCAGGAGCACCAGGAGAAATCTGTGAAACAGGCTATACCAAATGTACGGGTAATTCAATGTGTATTGATAATTACTGTAAATGCATTTCTGATCAGGTTCGTTCAATAAATTTTCCATGTAAATTTTTGCGCAAGAGATAGTTTTTGTGATCCTTTGAGAATGCAATCGTATTTCCTAAAGACTCATGCTTTATTCGTTGACATATACCAAAATTTTTTAGTGTTGCTTTCTTTGCCAACTGTTTTACCCATTTTTATAGTTAGGGAATGGTTTTCCAAATGCAGCGCATCTGTCTTCTTTCAAGAACGCAACAAATAAATCAACATTAATTCCGCTTTTGCAAAATATATCTAATGTTCTTTAATAAATGGTGTTCCCATTGTTTTATCATGTCTTAATACATTGTTATACCTTTGAATAGCCCTTGTCACCATCTTTTAAAGTGCAAAAGCCTTGCAAATAGGAATAATCTTCAGGTAGCGGTAAATGGTCAATGTACGATGCAATATCGTCTGGTACTTCCAAATCATGCATGCGACGGAAATATGTTCTGCACTGGTGGCTCTATTTGCGTTCTAGGCGTTTGCAAGTGTCCAAGTGGAATGTACTCAACATCTGGTGTATTGATTTGCAGACATCAGCCTATTTCACTTATTCATGCTGATACAATCCTTACAAGTTAGCCTTCAGATTTATGATCATTTTTTCAAAACCATTGAAAATTATGTGCGAAAGGCAATGTTAAGATTGAACCAAAACATAAGACAAGGATGTCTCCGTGACTGTTTTAACTATGATGATTCACTTGTTCTGCTCGTGAATTATGCTGCTTCAGTAAAGAGTTGATCCCATGTCCGGTCTGCAGATCACTGTTTTGTCATTACGTTTTCAATGATGATATTCAGAAAGTATTTTGAACCAGTTCATTTAATCGAAAGTCATTCAAGCAGTGTAAAGAATTGTACCGACTTATATTATTTTTATTTTGTACTCTATCGAACAAATGCTTTCATATTAATTTTCTTGTATGTCATAAATTAAAATGTCAATTTTTCAAATTTATTTTTAATATTTGCTGATAGTTTTTGATGGCGTGACGACCGAACACTCCTATATATAATACAAGTGTTCACTCGTGATAAAATATAAATATCAATACGAGAACTTTACTTAGTTCACCAACGGTCATCATACTGTTGTAATGTGTTTGAGTGTTTATTATTACTTATCACTGGGCGATATCTTTTATCTCTGCATTTAATTATTGTAAAACATTCAATAATACTCCACTGTTTCTGTGTGACCAATCAGGATGTTTCCTTATGTATCATTCGTTCTTTCTATGCTGACAGGCTTCTCTTCCAACAACAACACCAACAGATTCTACATGTTATCAGATTGTATGTGACGGTGCTTTTTATGTATCTAAGGTATTTGCCAGTGTACCGTAGGTAATAGGTCAATGTATCAACCGCATTTGTGTCCTGGTAAGTTTTCTGTTTTTTACTTTTTACTCAGATCAAGATATGTTGAGACTTGATGAAATTCTCCAGCAAATAGAAAATCCATGTTTATCTCTCATTTTTTTTCCAACTCTCCTAAATCATCGTTCATATCTATTTTCTATTTTACATCTTTATGCCTATCAAAAATAATTTTTGAAAAAAAAAAATTAAAACTATAAATTTAGATTATTTTGGTGAAATCGGGCTCAGAGTTATTCTCCTTATGTTAATCATATGTGCAATGTACGGGCGGTTGTCCATTTTCTGGGTCTCAAGGATCAATGTACTCACTCCGGTACCAAACTTGATGGTATTTTCTTTCTGAAATAGCTTTGCAGTGAGAAATTGAAATTTTTGTTTGCCTTAAGTGATGAGGGGAAATTATTAGTTATATCAGATAAAGCTTCTGCATCGGTTATAATGGGTAAGATACGAAGACAGTATTAAAAAGTATTAAAATTGCTGTTCTAAACAAACTTTTAGGAGAGAATGTCTGCAGTAGTATTCATTTTTTCAAATTAGAATCTTTTGGAATTTACCTGATTTCAGCTTTGTTTTCTACTTTTATTTGCGAATAAGGGCATTTTAGAAACTATGAAATCAATTTGCGAATAAGTAATGCATTTAAACGAGGACAAAGAACAACTTAACAGTTCTTTTTCTCTCAGGATCAATTTATTTTGTTAGGAATTGTTCGATTTTGAAAAGTACTTGTGTGAGATTTACTCCAGACCTCACAGTCATGTTTAAGAGTATTTTCATATTATATGCAAGTAGAATTTTCATACTTTTTTATTATCTGTTGGCTCTTGGTACAATGTTAATTCTAAAATGTTTTGCAGCAGTGTTCTAAAAGTATATATTTGTATATTTAATTCATAAACTACAATGCATATTCATGCTGAACGATTTGCACGATTAATTAATCATTTTTGAATTTAATCATAAGATCAGCTAGCATGCATGTCGTCATCCTTTAATTGAGTATTTTGACGGAATGGAAATGCTGTGTCTTATGAAGAATTGTAAATGACAGCAGCGTTGTGTGCATCATCTCAATACTTCATCAACCTTTTGTTCATCTGATGTCACTCTTCAGTTGTCCATCTGCACCGCTTATGCTGTGTTGTTGTGTTCTTGGGTGCTGAGTGCTGGGTATGGGTCACTTCTGTGCAAAGAAAATGTACATGTCCTGTAAGTAAGGCAACAAAAACTGATAAAATTTGTGATTGCTACCATTATCATTTTGCTCGTTCATTGATAGGTCAGCCAGGATATTTACGAAAAACAGTGGTCGCTCAAGGCAAACGCAATTGGCAACCGCTCAAAGACTGTCCAGTGACTCCTTCATGTCTCCTACCTAATTGCTTCTGTTCAAGGTAAACACATGGCGTATTTGCTAATCAAGAAGTAATAAACTGAACTCAACATTTCCAGTAATACGATGAGTTTCCAATAAGCGCTACAGAAAGTGCGAGTATTAATCCGTTGAAATGGTTTGGTGCAGAACTCAACCGAAAAATGAATTTTGATCGACACGAAATAAGTTGTAGACATAAAATTTTGCTAAGTAACGGATAAAAGGGCGAGCATAAAGTAAAGAGCGAGAGTCTAGGTAACATGACGAAGGTTTGAAAAGAAAGAGATTTGAATTCATAAAGCATTCCGCTTTGAGATCCGGATTGGAGATTCCCAATGGATTATTGGCAAGAGATGTGCCACAAATAATTATATTAACATTCGATGGTCCGATAACCGATCGAGCATTTGTCGTATACAAATCACTGTTCAGTGGGCAGTATCGGTATCTAAATTTTTCGTTGAAATCACCAGTAATTTAAGTGGAAGTGAAACTTCATCAGCAATTTTGTGCTTTGTATTCCTTTTTTCTGTAGTTATTGCAATGTAGTAGAATGTTGTTCAGGAATCCAAACGGTTGTCCCATAAAAGGTACTTTTTTTGTGTCCAGTGAATGGAATAACTATGATCAAACCCAATGGTTAATAAGTAATGGCCACGAAGTCGCTGTGAATTCCATTACGTGGGTTTTGGCCAGTCAACAATTTGATGTTTGAAACAAAAAATGTAAACGTAGTAGAATGTTATGGAGGCAGTGAAAGTAACTACTTGCTTGAAGGAAAAAAGTTATCTTTAGTTTTTGTTAACTAATTGCCAGAAATAAACATTCATAACTTCTAATAGGAAAGACTATCAAATGCATTCATCTATATTCTCTCTCTCTCTCCAAAAAAAAAATCTCGAGAAAACTACATGAAACATTTAAGTTTCTATTCAGACATCGAAATTTGAGTGGTGAGACTGTGGAACGTTGGGAGAAAGAAATGGTTGGCATGCGTGATGCACTACGACATTTTAGCTATGCAAACGCAGCAGACATTACTGGTGTACGAGCGCCGCAACTCGAGCTAGGAGGTAAGTAGTGAAAGTGTTAATTATAATTATATATCAGTTATACTTATAGATTGCATGAAGAAAGGAGAAGAATCGTCCTCTAATGAACATATTATTTCCGTTAACTCTTAAATACAACAGAAGTAGCTCCTGCCGACCAATGATCACTTAAAAACTGTGAGGTAGAAATTTTTAGGCGATAATCAATTTGATATGATGGAAAAGTATGGCTTTCTTTATGATAATACAATGAGTGTAAGCGGTGGACCATATTGGCCACAAACATTGGCATATAGTACAGCTTGGAAGTGTTCATCAAGTTTCTGTCCGAAAAATGCCCACCCAAATGTTTGGGAAATACCGATAAATCGCTTCACTGTATTGGGCTTACAAAAAGAATTCACAATGTTGAAAGAAGCTGTCCGTGTAGGTTCCTCATTTCATTATTCATTTTTCACTTAATCCAGCTATAATTTCATTTAGATAGAGAACAGTACAGCGAAAGCTTTTTTGTCCGTTTTCTTTAACAAAAAATAGCATTTAATTAAAATTTGCGTGGTGGTTTGAATTGTCAATTTGTTTGCAAAAATGAGATGGAATTCAATACGAATGATTTGAGTGAATACGAAGGACCAATCACTAAGGTTAAAAAACAAAAATTTCCCTGCATCTCTTATTAATTAAATACCTCTTAGGTAATTGAGGTTAAAAAAAAAGCTTAAATAGCTGTTAGAAATGCATTTGTAATCCTTTTAAGTTTAAAATATTTATATTTGAAGCGTGACGACTCTCCTTGGGATGTTGCGGAGATGTTGGAAATGAATTTCAATCGTTCATACAATTACAACAGAGCTCCGTATCTGTTAACTGCTGACATTAATTTCCTCAATGCATTACCAAATGAAGGAGCCATCATTGCCCTAAAATTATTTATCGAGAAAGTAACTGCATATGCTTTTGTTTTTGTTCTTTCAATTTCTTCAAATTCCACTACTTCTGATGAAATTTATGAAAACATTTGATATTTCGTGTCACTAAACTAGCGGAGTAAAACAAAGATTAGGGATGTTGTCGATAGGATTCTGTAGGAAGTACCAAGAATCCAAGGCAGTCCAGGGAGGAACATTTCATTAGTTGTAATCTTTCTCTCCTAATCCAATTGCGTTACCTATTAACATTTCCCACACATCTCCTATGAGAACATTAAGCAGTAACTTCCTTCACCTCAATGTTATAACTACTTCAGCTTTTAACTGTCAGTCTTTCATATGAAATATTCTTTCCAGATATCAAAAAACTCAGATGTATATTTTGTAACAGCTACGCAGGCATTGAAGTGGATTAAACAACCAACACGTTTATTACATATTCATAGCTTTGAACCGTGGCAGTGTAATGTGCCATTTAAGAACAACATGACTACTTGTGAGGTAAGCTTCTAAAAAATTGGTAGGATACATCCCTCTGCTGGTCAATATTTCTCTATATTCTGGAATCAGCAAAGACAGTCGCGATCGTACAGTGTACGAGGCATTTCTCCTGATCAAGTTCTTGAAATTCGATACAATGCAAACTGAACCATTGCCATACTTAGTGAAGGAAAAAAAAAAAAAAAAAAAAAAAAAAAAAACAACGGCAGTGCAATATACCACTTAAGCGTTATTATTTGTGAGGTATATATATATAATTACATAACACATCGGTCATCGGTTTTGTTCCTATCTAAAATGAGTCGAACACGTGGTGTTATTGCTTCTTCACGAATTTTTAAGCTAGCGGTTTAAAAACATTTAATTTCATAATTGTATTAAGACTAAGATCACTGATTACAGACTCCATCCAGTTGTTCATTTACTTGCAACAGCGAAACTCGTATTCTACGTATATGTGGTACTTGTCCACAAGTGTATCCAAATCTTGGTAATCCTACTGGCACTGGAAATTCAACCGTCGATCGATAATCTAGTTCAAAATTTTCTGGTAATTATAAAGTTCTTAAGCTAATCATGTACAACTCTGTGACAAAATTTTCAAACTTCGCAAACACTGAATAAAGTCTCTGAAGCCACTAAATAATCACATTATGATCAGTGTTAAACGGTTAAGTCATTGAGCAATGTTCCTTATCAAAATTTACTGCCATTAGCGAGAACTAATTATTTTGCATAGCAAGAAAAAATACCTTAAAAATATTTGACAATCGAACATCAGCAATGTCGATCTTAACTTTATCATCAGAATTCCAGTCTTACCGTAAAAAAATTCTCATGTTTATTTCATCCTATCATTTCATTTAATAAAGACTTCGAAGATGTGAAGTCACATTCATAAAAGGAAAGTCAGAAGATACGAAAAGACGGAATGTAGAAACCAACCATTCTAATCAAAAATGGAAAAGTATGCAACAAAACTATCAATAACCAAAAAGTGGTGCACTCATAAAGGAAGATAAGTTGAACATAATACAACAATAACTAAGTAATTTCGATCAATGATGATTGAAGACTAATTCAGTTAAGTAAAATAGCACCGAATGCAAAAAATGAGAACAGTATTCTTCGACTTGCAACCAAATTTGTAGCTTCATTTTCCAGGTTTAACTGAAGAAAATAACACAGGGAAAATACATTGGACCACGAAAACTTTGTAGTTAGCAGCAACCAAATTTATTTTTTGATCAAAATTCTGAAAGTAATTAGGACAGATTTCTGTGTTAGTATAGCAACATCGTAAATGGAAATTCTTCCTTTCCACAAACATTCTGGGTTCAGAAATGTGATAACGTTAAAGGCTACATAGAAATTAGACATTATTACCAAACTTAATTCGCTAATATCAATCAGTTTGTACCTTCACCATTTCATCGTCTTTCTGTACTTCGATTCCGAACTTAAATAAAGGAAGGATAATGGTATTTCAACTGTACATCAAAGATGTAAAATTGGAAATAAGGAAGAAAACTATAAAGAAAAGCGAAAATTGATTGCCTGAACTGATTAACGCACTAAACAGTCAACTGCTAATAGCATCAACGGCCATTATAATGAATTAATTAGATCATTAGGGAGAATGATAACAAGCTTACAAAACAATACTTAAAACCACAATGTTTTTCACTTGATTAGCTGTCTCAATGCCCTACATACAACAATTTTTGATCTCAGCTCACACTGAGTGAGGTATAACGATTACATAGCATAGCTTAAAGACCATAGTGCGTGGTAACTAGAGATAAATAAAAAAGAGAAGCTAAATCAGCTATTAAAAATGCGAAATTTAGACATAGCAACAGGTGCAGTTGCTTGTACCTTCAAGAAATCGGGCAAATTCAGCGATTCCGAATTGCTCTCATGCCTGAAACATAACTCTTCTAAAACTTCTGAAATCGTGAAGAGGAGGTCGAAGTAATCTGAAAAAACTTTGAAAAAATGAGAAAACAAAAAAGTGTCAACAAAATAATGTTAAGGCATGAATAATGCTCAGATAGAAAAAAAGGAACAAAATGAATTTGTGATATACTAAGAAATTGCCATCCTAACATAGCTTCGAGCCAAACGAGATTATAAATAAGCTCCTTATAAACAATAAATGTTTATGATTTTAGAAATATCGAGCTATGTTATATAACAAGAAAGTAAGCAAAGGAAAATAGTGCAGAGGTTGTGGATAGGAAAAAGTAAGGTTCCTTTTTTTTGGTGGATTAAAGTCGTTAAATGAATAAAACTTTATATCCAGAAAAATTTTGCTGCAAAAGAACTCATTTCACGCAATTTCTACAGAAAAGAGTTGAAACTACTTAAAGAAGTTCACAGCGCAAGATTGGTAGTGTGCTAAAGGTAATTTACTAATTTATGTTTAGAGATGATTCACATTAATTGAAAGATAATTTACTATCACTTGTTGGAAGAATGATCACAATAATCTCTTTTTTCACATTTAAAAGACAACTTATAACGCCACCGCAAAAAGGGATTTTAAAATAGTCGAGATACAAAATACTATGAAGAACTGCAAAATTGTTTGAAGACAACTTACTGTATCATATCTTCGATATCGACAAGCATCGAGTCCTGTTGCATATACAGCGAATCTTTTTCAACTAGTAGCCTCATTAATTCCGCATTCTCTTCTGTAAACAAAGCATACACAGCGAATAATTATTAAATACAATTGCTTCAAATAAATTACTAGTGTTATTTTACTGAGACTGTGAAAATAAATACATTTGAGTTAATCGTTCAAGTCATGAAGTTTTACCGTCAAGAACAATTTTTCGAAGATATTTCATTCATTAACTCTGTTAAGCAAAGCCTTAAACAACATCTACAAGTCCTCTAAGCAACCCTTTCTTTTCATGGTCTACTATTTCCCTTAACTATAAAAATGGTAATCATCCTTCCTAATGGGCAACTTCACATCTCTTCAGGTCAATCCAAAAATTTGCACCACTTTTGTCACTTGCACTCCTTTTCATGACAGTAAATTAAAAAGAAAAATACCATTAATACGCTTGCTAATCTTTTCACTTAGTTCGATAAGCTGTCGACGTGTCATTTTCGATAACTGCAACCTGAAAGCTGGATTCATATGCTTTCAAGTAGATTTTATAAAATTAAGGTTTTAAAAAATGAGTTTTAAAAATAAGAGACGTTCTTGAAGTGTATTTTAAAATCATATGACTCGCAGAAAATTAAAAAATTTCATTTCTAGAAGACAAAACAAATTTATATAATAACCTGGAAGCCTTCGGCGGTATGGCTGTGGTAAATCGATTTGTGTTAATCTTCTCGATTTCCATCTGCATTCTCGCAGCCTGTTTTGCTTTCGTGAGCATCATTTTCGTCTCCTCTTCCAAGACTTGTCGTTTTTCTTCTGCATAATCAACAAAAAAAGTGCAATTGTACTTATCACGCCGCACAGGAATACACATGCTGAAGATAAGAGTGAAAGGGTTGTAAAACACACTCTATCTCCCGTCTTATTTTTCTATCTTATATCTGAAATAATGTGGTCTTAAAGGCAAAGGAACATCACAGATTGAAAAACCAATATTTAATCTTTTTCTCATATCCCCAAATAATGAGATAAGTTTTTCTCCATGAATACCTCATCAAAAAAAAAAAAAAAAAAAATCACACAAGAAAATAAGCTCTGTGTCTTTGTGGCAAATTTTCGATGCCTAGGATAACAGGCATCGAAAGATCGACGAAGACAGTAATTTTTTACCAAGAATTTAGCCCTGTAAGCTGAATTTGTACATGCTCATAGGAATTTGACTTCTTGGCACCCATGTAACACGACACTGAATGCTAGAGACGAACCTGAATTGCCACTCTGATTCTTGCTGCCGACCCACCTGGCCACTAGTCACTCTCACAAAGAGTTTAATGTTTTAAATTTGAAGTGCAGCAAACGATCAATGAGAACTTGAAACACTACATAAGACTTCAAAAATGACAAACCAACCAAACAGAAGTCTACAGGAAGGAAACGACAATGAACTAAAGCATTTATAGGAGAACAAACCAAATGTACGATGTTATTAATAAGCTAATAAGAAAAGCTCATTTATAAGTGTCAAAGATTTCATAAAAATAATAATGGAGTACATAAGGAGGAAATCTAACTTATTTTGATTGGAAAAAATGTGAAGCTTCAGGTACATAACTTCATATATTGAGACTTCATGCAAGATATCTTAAAAATGGAAAAGAAGTTTCTCTGATAAAAAGTTATGATGTAAATCGATTTAATAATTTGGAAACAATAATATATTCTTACTTATAGCTGATATAGCCTGACGTAACTGAGAAGCATTCAAATTGGAGCCATCGATTACCGAGTTTTGCAAATTCGGTGCAGATTTCGATTTTGGCATAGAAAAATCATCATCCGAACTTTCTTCCTCGTCTTCATCTTTCAGACCGTTAATATAGCAAACCTAATAGATACACGAAAATATGAAAAAATAAGATCTTCGCAAGTCAGTTATAAAGAATCTGAAAGGATCTGCTACGGAATAAATGATTAGAATAATATTGATATTACTTAATCATTTTCATTGTTGCTTTCATTGTTTCTGTAAGTGGTCTAAACGCTTGGTTCTTAGCCGACGGACAAGTTGCTTTAGGCCTTGCAAAAGATAAATTAATGCCGCAATTTTTTGCTAAAAGAAACAAATATGGTGCCCCCTTTTGTGGACATCATCTAAAACACATTTTTCAGAAAATCTGGGAAGAATAAACATCTTTTCATTTACCCAAAACCATATATTTCTTCTTGAAATTGTGAAAATTACTTGCAAATTCGTGGCTGTCTGCAAGCGAAATCCTAGATTTGACTTCGCTGGCCCCTTGTAAACATGTAAAGCCGGTGGTTCTGCTGTGTAATGGTCTACTTGAAGTGCTAAACGGCGACGTACCTGTAAAAAACCCATCACACTCATAAATTTTCAAATACGATGGAAAAAGACAAAGAATTGTATACTGATACATCATTAAACAGTGATGATAAAAGTTTCTGCAGTATCGTTTGTCGATTCTATTTATTTTTTTTTTTTAGTTAACCACTAATGGATTTAAAATCAGATCAACTGAATCTTGGAAATAATTTTTGCGGTGCAAAATTTTGTAACTCAATAAATAAAGCATAAAGGGAAGTGCCAAAAGTCAACTATTCTTGAAGACCTATAAATAAATTATCTTTACATTACAATATGTCACCGTGACTAAGAAACTCAATCACATAAAATTATAGCTAAAATTATGGAGAAAATAAAGAAAGAAAAAATATATATGCATCACAAATATATGCTACAATATTATATTAAGTCTTCTTGGATTTACAAGAATTATAAGAATTCAAAATCCATCAATAATTATTAAAAACGATCAGAATCAAAAATTTACAGAACAATACAAAAAGAAACCAGAACACAACAGTTTAAATTTAGCATTCAATCTATATCTTAATGGCGTTTGAAATTCCTAAATTTGACTCTCTTTTGCAAATATCATTATTGTTTTTATTTTAATCAGAAAGAGATGCATTAAAACAACAAAAGAGAAATCAAATATGAACTTCCAATAGCAATATTTATTTCATGTTCCATTTTATAATCTGTAAACAGTGCTCTCAAGAAAATGTTATCATGCAGAACATATCAATGACTAAGGAGAGTGATATTAAAAATAATTTAGAAAGGAAATTAAAATTAACCTGTTCACCAAGTAATTTCCGTTCCGTTATTAACCGTTCCTTTGCTGCGCAATTCAGTTTTTCTTCCAGCTTATTAAAATCCAGTTGTGGTAAGCATGTATCTAAATTATCCAACTCCTTGTCGATATATTCCCGTAAAGAAGCTTTATCATTTTTAATGAAATTTTTAAATTTCCATGCACCACATGCGCCGTGAAAGTGTCGTGATTCGGTCATTCTTGCCCCACCTCGATTTACAATGCTATTCCCAGTCGCCTCATCCCGAAAAATTTCTTGAGCATCATTTAATTCATTGAGATGATAGCTTGTTAATGTTAAGGGGTTTGTTTTTGTCGAAAAATTCATATTTTTCAATGAACTGGATTTTCCCAGCGAACTACATGGTTCTAAACTGTCTTTCGAGGTTTGGTCTGAACTGGTATATTCCGATGATTTTCGATCTTGATAATCGAGTGATATATTCGATGGATGCATTAAATTATGCAGACCGAGAAAACTTGATGCCAAGTTCTGTAGCGACAACTGTGAAGGATCTTCAGTAGCTGGTCTTGAAGTTGTACTGGACATTTCGAAGGAGTCCTCAGAACACGACGTAGATAAAGCTTGGTTGCCATCCAGAGTAAATGATTTGATGGATTCCAAGCTTGAACTATTGCTTTGCTGATCCAAGGAGCTTGAGCTTATACTTCCGATATGACGCGAGTTTACTAAACTATGTAATAGTGACTTGGAACATAGATTATGTTTCGATTCCGCATTGAGCACTACCTCACCAGAACGCTGCCACATTGTGTAGTGAATTTCGAATGGATAGAATGATGCTGGTAACAACGGCAACAATAAAATAAATAGCACAAAGAAATGGAAATAAATAAAAAGGTCTAGTTTGTCTATCACAAAGTAGAAAAACAAGTTGAACAGCAAAAATCTGTTAGTTATCACGCTCGATTTCAGAACTGCCGGGGGAAAACAGAAATGCTTTTTTCTTCTCAGTATCCTTCAGTTATCAATGAATAGGAAACGAACGGTTGTAGCCGTTATTTTATTAACAGGATTTACAGCAATAATCATTTGTAGGAAAATTATATATCACCAACTGCCATCCACCTGATCCATACCATCCATCAAAATTCTGACTTCACTATTAGACTGACAACAGAAACGTTCCCTATCCACAAATAATTAAACTCTCCACCTGCAAAAAGAATGCGAAATTAAAAAATGCATTTTAGCTTGATAACAACAGTACTGTTTTACACAATACAAATTTGAGTCAGCATTTACCTTCACAAACCAAAAAATAAATTAAACATATATCAGAACTAATAAAAGTTAACTCTTATACTGTTTGACATTACAAGAGTAGGATAATAGGATATATATACCAACCCTCACTAACTTTGCGAGTAATGGAATAAGATCTTGAATGTATTAATGATAGGAAATAACTTCCAGAAATATGGAGAAAATACTTCATTTTGTTATGTATTGCTGTCAGATTTACGGTCATTTTAGGTATTGCTTCAACCGAGCATATCAATGTCCTTCTACAAACTGTGATTTACCAATGATGGAACATTCCCGAAGAATGGTTCATAGGAATGTTTGCGTGGAAATAACAACGCAGAATTATGTACACTTAAGTGGTGACTTCAGCAGCGCAGTGGTGGATGAAAGAAATGCACAAGAGAAATACAAATATGACAAAAGCGATGTCATTCATGGTAAGATTTTAGCATTAATAGATAGATGTATAATAGCATAAAAAGCAAAAAAAAACATTAAGTATGGAATTTTATAAAAAGTGTTATTCTTGGTGAATTACATAAACTGTACTCTAGATAAGTCAGTGAACAGGGTAATGAGATTACGGAGATAAATGGATACAAAATCACATCTAAACTATATCTAATAATCAGCCAATCCACTGTTTGTACTATTCATAAATACTTTTAGTTGGAAGCAACTCCTTAACAATGAGCCATCATCAGTGACAACCGATCGATATATATCATTTAGCTGCATATTACACCACAATTGGTTATATTAGTTTCGATTTAACTGAAATTAATTGCTATTCAGAGTGAGTGAATGAATATTCTAATGCAAGTATCTTATGTAACAGGAAATCAATAATGTTTTCGTTGCAAAGGTGTTTATATATTACCGGAAATTTCCAATAAGGACTCATTATTGTAGATGAAATAAGATTCTCCTCCGACTTGGTATTGTCCCTTGAAAGACCAGTAAGAAAAGGAATCAAAAACAAAATTAAGGTGTTGACAAACAATGGAAAGAATGTGTCAAGAAGGATCCAAAAAAAAGAAGTCTATATAAGGGTTATCTCAAAGGTTGACTATCACGTTCTTTACCAATCTCTCATTTGTAAGAGAAGGATAAAAAATCAATTATCACATATAGTATAGTCATTGCAATGGCCAATCGAGTACGAATTAGAGCTGCTTGCTGTGATGATATATTATGATCACCATAACTAAAGAAAAGAATACTGAAGTATGACCTCTCTACATAAAATTTTACATCGCTAAAATCCGAATTTTCCTCTACATCTCATACCAAAAACTTAAATTCTTAAAAATGCTGTGAACAGATATAAAAATAGATATAAAAAAAAGCTTCGGCACTGTAGCTGATAATATCAACTGAGATATAACTCTAACATTTTATCCTGAAACTGAGTTATTGATAGAGTGACAAAAATTATTTCCAAATTTCGTGACACAGCACTCGATCAAATAAAGTTAGAAAAATTCAAGAGATTCCGATTACTCCTTCATTGGTTAAACCCAACATTATTCCCAGGACAAAGAGGAAGAGTAAGGGAACCAGGTTTCATCGGTTAGTAAGTGGAACCTTTGAGACACCTTATCTAATCAGCAACAGCAATTTTCATGTTAAAATACTATTCAGTCCATTATATTCGAAATCCTTAACAACGAAATTTATTGTGACAAATAAGCAAAATAATGATTCACTATGCTATCGTCAACTTGAAAGGTAAACGCGGAGAAACCAAATCAATAGCGAAATCACAGCAACTACTTACTATGATTTGAGATGTGTAGTGAAATATCGTGGAGAATAATCGATGAAATGGGATTATCGAATTTGGAAAGGGTCAAAATGAATGTAGTTAGGAAAAATGAATGTTCTCAGATTTCAAAAACTGCACAGTCACACTTTCTGTGGTCATAAATTTAATTAACATATTTGCAGTAGAAAACAAATCTGTCCTAATTAGGCATAAAGGACATATGATGATGTGAATATTTAAGTGAATGTGATATAAACTGGAATTCTAGCCTCAAGTTTCGTGTTCAAATGCTTATTTAGTCCACTGAATTCAAGTCTCAATCTAAAATATTATGTATATTACTGCTTGATAAAAAACAAGTGTGGCGGTATCGTGAGAAAAAACATGGACAAAACAAAATCTAAAAACTCGTTCTCGAGGTTACTGTTCAACATGCTTTTTAAAATAAATTCAGACAAGTGTTATTTCTATACACACTCACTGTCGACTGATAGTTGTTTTTCAAGACAGCTTTTAGATGCTGCAAATAATTGTGAGTATCAAGAAATTTATAAATTTAGAATAATACCATCGCTGGTAGATGAAATAGAGGACTTAAAAAAGGCAACAAATGAATAAAGCTGATTCAAATCAACTTTTGTTATTGTCATTACTTTGTTTAGTAGTACAATATAAGTGAAATATACATACCAGTTGCAATTAATATAATGGAGTGCTAAAATAAAATCAAATGAACTTCAATTCGTAGCTTCGAAATTAAAAATAAGAGGAAAAAATAAAAATTTATTGGAGCACTTATTAACAGTTCATTTTCATGAACTCAACTGAGTCTATCGAATTTTACACAGAAAAGAAGACATTTCCGGGCTAAAAGATTGACGTGAACACCATGCATCGTCTGTGACTTTTCAACATGCAAAAGCGAACCACCACGTCAAAGTGAATGGTTCTAAATCTTCGAAATCCTAAAGTAACTCTTCTCCCGGAGTAATCCAGTCATAAATTTCCAAGCCACATTCGCTGATTTTTCTGCATTTTTCGTACTCACTAGTAACTCTCAGAAAACAAGCATATAGTGGTAAGATACTGTGTGGTTGCATTAGCGGGAAAAGCTTCGCCCTATGTCATTGTTAGGACTGTAAGGCTTCAAAAGCTTTCCGAAGTGCTCTATAGACCAAACAACGAACCGAAATCCTCAACCTTACCGAATGACACAAACCTATCGAGTCTCCTTTTGACGCGGTATCCTAACGAAGTACGTTAAATTCAGTTCTGATAATAATTTTCTCTTTTTTATTAAATTGGTGCTTTACTGTTGTGAAATTCAGAACTTGAACTGGAGTTGATTCAAATCCTTACTATACTTTAAGGCGATTAATTTGTTCTTTCATTTTCCGGTAAAAGCAGAGAGAGTACACCTATGCACATCTGCTTACCCTCATCACATGATAAATTACCACTGATACATCATTTCTCATTCTTAATGAAATTCCATTCAGCACGATCTCGAGGTAGTTTAATGCGGGAACAGTTTCAAGGTATGGAACCAACTGATGATAATACCGCATGCATCACCTATTTCGCACGGCATCCTGAAGAATTGATTGATGAATCAGTGGCATCAACTTCTGCTGGTATTTTCGGCAATCTTTTCAGTCGAATTTTCAAGCCATCTAAAGACATCAACATAGCAAATAATGTCAGAGATACAACCACCATGTCGATGTCATCGCGGCATGACGATGTAGGAGAAGTGTCAGACATTTCTATGGGTAAAGCTTTTACTTTTACATGTATAGCTGTGTCTAAATTCTTTTTGCTTATTTTATTAACAGTAGTTTACAATCCTTAACTTTTTTCCCTCTTTCTTTCTTTTCTGTTTTCCTTCAGGCGGATTATTTGCTTGACCGTTAATGCAGAAATTCTTGAGTGATTTATTTGGTCAACTTTTTTCTTCTAGCAATAAAAGCAAAAGTTATTTCATTTTCGCTTTTCGGATTTCATTCGGATATATTAAAATTACGATATATTGTAGGGGATTTTAATAGATGTTTAATGTGTTAGAAATTTTTTACATTTAAGGATTTTTAGAAAATGAGATTGGCGATACTGGTGAAAATTCAAAGGAAAAAGATGAAAATGGCAGTGATATTTTGGAGCAGAGGAAAAAATCCTATATTCGTTTTGCTTCCATTTTCAAAGGGCGAAATCCTGGTCTTCTCGATTACGAAAGGTTAAGTTTATTAAAGTATCACTATGTTTTTAGTAGTAATTTTCCGAAATAACATTTCGTAGTTTGCCCAGTTTCCGTTATGGTATGTATTCTTGTCTGATATTCGTGGACTCACTTATAGGAGTAATTTTCGACGTTACTGGATGCCAGATTCAAGTGGACGGGAATGTTACGAATGTCAGGAACGTTTTACCGCTTTCAGAAGACGACATCATTGTCGTTTATGTGGGCAAATATTTTGTTCGAAATGTTGCGGTATCCAGGTCTCTGGATCATTATTAGGTTTGCTTGAATTATTTTTATTTCGATTATTTTAAATCTATCTGATTGAATATTGAAGACTGCGCAGAAATTTTGCTAGTTTCATTTTACTTACTTTCACTTAGTTGTACATCCTGTTAATGAAGGCGTGCATATGTTAAAGAAGACATATGGTTAACCCGCCCTCGAACTTTTTAATGTCGAACTAGTTAAACTGTCCAATCAATTTGCTTGGGTTTCAATTTGCAGTAATTTTAATTATATTTCTCTGATTTCAGTGACATATGATCTGTTATTTCTCTTAGTTATGAGCCAAGTTTTATGGAAGATAGAAGTGAGTGCTTCGTAGGATTATCAGGCAACTAATTTTAGAAAGAATCATGAATTTCATAAGTAATCTATTTTTTGCAGGTTATACGGGTGATTTAAGGTTGTGTACTTACTGTGCTGATATTGTAATTTCGAATTTGCCACAGACAGAAACAAAATTAGAGGACGGGCCTAATTCATCTGCTTGTGACCAAAAACTAAACTATGAAACAGACTTCTCAGTGTCAACGATTTTTGCAGGTTGAGATGTTTGTAGTTTGGAGAAGATTTGATAATGAAATTTAATGAAAATTTTTAAGCTATGTAGAATGGGGTTTCTTGAATTCTTTTGTTAAACCAGCACTCTGGTAGTAGATTTAATTTTAAATTTTCAGAATTCTTTGAAAATGAAGCCGTTATATGATTTTGGAATGAAATATTAATGCATTTCACTTTGTAGGTCCCATATCTTGGTCACTGAATTCACCTATTATTGCTGATGAGAATAATGAAAGTGGGACATCATTTCAATGTACAGTTCCAAGAAAATCATCAGTGAAACTTGATTCCCCTACGCAGCTTTCGGTAACGGAATTAGCCATGTATAATTCAAATGTTCAGTATTCGCCTACTCATGATGTTGGCGATGATCTTGAACCGGAATGGGTGAAAAATATTGAAATGACTGATAATGTGAAGCCGTTGGATTCTTCAAACTCGGTTTGCTATTTGAGAAAATTAAAATGGAGAAAAAAAACAACGATATAAAAATTAAATCGTTTCTGATTTGTAAAAATATTCTGAGAGTGGATAATATTTTAAAAAACTAATAGCGTTGCAGTGATTTTGTGCTGTCCATTTTATGGTGAACGTCTTTACCGAGTTATAGGTGGTTTTTTAAATATTGTTAATGTCCTTTTATTTTTGTTTTTTTAAAATTTATTTTGGAAAGCATTATACTTAATCGAACTTATTACAGTTTCTTTCAGAAACTAGAATCTATGGATTACTCACACTCAACGTCACAAAAAGATGACATGAACATTGAAAATAAGTTAAACTTTCATGTTGCTGAAATGGATAATGAACAAATTGTTAAAAAAGCTTCACCATCGAGAGCAGGAAATGATGATCTTCGTTTCAATGAAACAATTGAAAGATGCTTTGAAATCCAGTCCGAAAAACTGATTTTACAGCTTTTCAGTCGTGAAGGATTGGATCCGAAAGAGTTAGCTTATTACAATTTCTTACTGTAGCATACATCTCACTGGCATATCACTTAAATCTCATCTAAGGGGGCAATTGATCGAATCTATTTTGTTCATAACTTATGAAATGGGACATTCTAGCCTGCCGAAATTTTCATGAAACTCATTTAATGAGGAAAGATCATAAAATAAACTCCTAGATGGTGGGAGATCATATGGTCTGTAAGTCATGTTGTATCGTCAATGGTTAAAGTTGATATGGAGGGACGAAAAAATGTTAATGTTATGAAACATGCTCATATCAAAAATCTTCATGTTGCGGTTGATAAGCCCTCCGCAAAGGTTAGTTTGTGATATCCATTTTATAACTGTACAATCGATAGCATCAGTATTTGTGTGTGCCCTGACAAATAGCATAAAGAAGAATATTTTCGGGGCTGAACGAGAGTAACTGCTTGTAAACGCATTACAACATTCATTGTACATAGGTGTTCAAAATTATGTATGTGAAAGTCGGCGAAATTGAGAGTATTTTCAAGTGTATTGATTCTCTCGGGCAACATCTCAATCTATATTTGTTCCAGGTAATAGAGGGAACAGTATGTAGCAAAAGCGTTCGTCATGAATCGATGCCAAATGAGATTCGTAATGCATCAGTTTTGACTTTAGAAGGGAGCATCGAGTATGAACGAGTTAGCGACAAGCTTTCTTCAATTGAACCAATAATTTCACAGGTGAAATTTTGAAAACTCAAGATTTCCGGGAATTTAAACCGTTGTGTACGAACATTGTATACAAAAATGCGGTTTGAATTTCACTGCTTCGAAATGCATTTGACATCTTCCTTGGATCTTTTTCTTGTAATTGAAGACTTATGAATTAATCATTTCAGGAGAGTGAATATTTACGAAATCAGGTGGAGCGAATGCTTTCACATCGACCGTCAGTGGTTTTGGTTGAACGTAATGTAGCTGGCTTAGCTGTACAGATGTTATTACGTGCTGGAGTCACACTTGTTTCTAACATTAAACCGCGTGTTCTGCAAAGAATAGCACGAAGTACCGGCGCCGACGTAATGCCTTCACTTGATGCACAAATCTTGAACCAGAAGATTGGGTTTTGTCCATTTTTTCGGCAGGAGAAGGTTCGGTTGATGAATGGGAAATACAAATGTTTGTTGGTAAGAATCACTTTTATTTAGAATTATTGTTCGTAAAACTTGGAGATATTTTTGAGGAAGAAATTTTATGAATTTTTATCACTTATTTAAAAGTGGAAGAAGGATGCAGAGATAATGAGCAGTAAAATTTAAAAATTGTGCTTTCTAAATTTTTCTGTTCAAGTTTCTACACTATATATATATATATATACATAAGTTGAAAATGAATGATAACTTGCTTTTCAGGTGTTTGAGGAATGCCCTCCAGAATTAGGATGCTCTGTGTTATTGCGAAGTAACTCAAAAAGAGATTTGAGAGCAGCTAAACGGATCTTACATTATGGAATTTTAATGTTGTATTCCAATCATCTCGAAGTAAAATTGTTGTCCACCTGTGGCACAACTTTGACAAATCGATCTGCGGATTGTGATATTTGCTCCATTAATGCTGCTGAATTGGATACAAACAAAGTTATTTTTCCGATATTTTCCCTTAGTTACATAGTATATAAAATCTTAATGCTTTCAGTTTTCTTTGTTCATAGTTTAATACTGAAAATTTCAGGGTAACTTTTGCAAGCGTTTAAAGAAGTCCACTCTCTCACCCTCCCCATTGATCGATTTTGGAATCCCTTTTCTAGAAACATCGAAAGGTCGGCGATGCTCTCTAAGAAAGTTTTTTAACCGTTTCATTAGCAGTTTAGCAACTGAAAATAATGGCACCAGGTAAATTTTTGTAAACTGGAATAAATTTCTACTTCTGTTCCCAAAATGATAAAACGGAACTTTATTATATCATGTTGATAAAGTTATATATTCTGTATCATATTTTCTCGCTAAATTTCCTTTTTGAGCATTTTTGAAGAAAGTCTCAATATGAAATAGTGTTTAGGGACTGTTCAGATTATAAAGCAGAAGAAAATTATTCATTGAAACGATATGTTCATTCTTTTGTGAAAAATATCACCCTAACGGAAGTGGACGAAGATGCCATCTCCTCTTTCCGAGCTTTTTCTGGTTGGATGTTTCGATGTAGCGTTCATAAACAGAATCGGGATCGATTACGGTTGATTTATATGTTATTGAAAATTTTGCTTTTTTTTTTGTTTCAAAGTTTCTTGATGAAACAAAACTGCTGATCATAGGTTTACTTATTTGGAATTATATTAATTCTTTGGGTAACAATGCATTTATGTATCATCAGCAATTTAATTCCAGAAAGTGTTAAGTCATATCAACTTTACTTAGGTTTCGATATTTAAATTATTATTTGTATGGCATGGCCATTGTTTACAGGGAACATAATCTCATTAAAAGAGGGATAAGTGTAGGAAATCAGCAAATTAATGTATTGGTTATTGCAGGAAAGAAACAGTTTCTAATAAAGAAATTGAAGATGTGTTGGATCCATTTGCTCATCAGCATATATCAGTTCTTTTCGGATCATTTTGTCCAAAATCGCCGAATGCACCTCTGTTTTGCATTCGACCTTGGGTTGTGAATATGGATTATTATGGTGTTAATGATATGTCTTTGGGTGACTTCTTGAGGAAGTTTGTCATGCTTCCCGCTTAAATTTCGTATTATTAATGATAGGAAATAACTTCCAGAAATATGGAGAAAATACTTCATTTTGTTATGTATTGCTGTCAGATTTACGGTCATTTTAGGTATTGCTTCAACCGAGCATATCAATGTCCTTCTACAAACTGTGATTTACCAATGATGGAACATTCCCGAAGAATGGTTCATAGGAATGTTTGCGTGGAAATAACAACGCAGAATTATGTACACTTAAGTGGTGACTTCAGCAGCGCAGTGGCTGAGCAAAATGACACCTTGCTTACCTGGCATTATTGTCCAAAGTATACAACATTTTATTTTACAATTCGAAAGAAAAAATTAATGGCAGGTTTTTTTAAGCCAGCTAATTTAAAAATTATATTTGTTCTAGGAAAACTTTATTTACATTCTAGGATTTACTTTTTCCTTATACCATGTTAGTTGAAATTTTGTAGCTTACTTTTATAGACTTGTGGCACATTGGCTAATATGTTTATCGATATTTTAAATATTGTTTTACTCAGATGCAAATCATCGTCCGCGGTACTCCCACTACCAGAAAGTGTATGTCGGTTGAGTTTTGCTCGTTATCTGAATTATTTGGCAAATGGTGCTTATGCAACATGTAACATTAATTCACTTTTACAGGTACGTCAGATATTTTTATCATTCATAATGTTGTTTGTGATAGGGAAATTGAGCCACTAGAAAGGCCAGAAAGAAATTAGATGACATGTCTATCTGTAAGCATCATAGTTGTTTTTATAATTTCACTTCTGCTTTTTGTTGGTATGCAGTTGTCCTCTCTGGAAGTATAACAACAAGTTCTATACTTATGCGACATGCAAAATCAAGCCACTGTAGCAGTCGACATTTGTCCTTTTAAAAAACAGTAACGAGTAAAGCAATGATTTAGGAAATTAGATTTACTGAAATTAGTTACAATGAAAATATAGGAAAAACGATGTCAGTGAAGATTTTAAAGATTCATAACTGCTTTTTTCTGAAAATAATTTTTGTTTAGAAATGTGATCATTGTTGTTTTCATCAACATGAACGCAATGTCGCTCTCAACAATTTGGTGACGACTTTCAAAGTCTTATTGGTTCCATTTTTTTTGTCTTTTAAACCGTGTATAAGAAATGTATTTAAAGTAAACAGTAAAGTTATTGTTTGACATTATGATAATTCAGGAACAATCAGAGACGCAGGATTGACGCATCTAAAATTTCAAACTTTCATTAGGCAGTAATTATTGATATACCGAATCAATTTCATCTTGTAGGTGCGTCCATTCCATGTGACTTTCAGTCCATTGGTTTGTACTGTTGAACCGATAATGTTTACTCGAAAATTTGTTGCTGAATCGAAAAATGAAATAGAGAAAGCAGCAGCAGCCATCTTCAAAATTATGTCGGAACAGATCGAAAATTTGTTAAAATATAATGGGAATAGCTTGTATTCAACATGTCATACACAGGCAGCAAAAATTTTAGGAGACGCGCGCTCTGCCTTCAAGTCAGTCCTTGGTGAAATTATTTGAAAGTATCCAATGCTTCTCGTTATCATTTTTCGCTAATTTTAATGCTTCCATATATTTGTAGTTTTTTAGCTCTGCAATAAAGTGTTTTGATCCAAGTGGTGCGCTTACTGGTGAACCAATAGCAATTCGGTCAAATGATGCTGTTTATACTCAGGTCTTCCATGAAAATTATTTGTATCTATTGATAAAGTTGTAGAAATTTACGTAATAGGTCACGGTAGTGAAATATAAACTATATATATTGTTTTTATGTATTCTAGGCCACTGATACAATCTGTCGTTGCCGGTATATTGTACAGCATGCAATAAACTTATGGAATGAACAGTGTCAGTATTTTTGTCAACAGATTCGAGCTATTAAAAAGTATAGTGGCAGTGGTATTCTGCCAGTAAATTTTGGATTTGCATCAATTGTAGAGGACAATATGGTTAGATATTACATCTTTTGGGTTATCAGTTGAGTTAAATGAAATTATTTATTCTTCTTTGTGTCACAAATGGAATAAATAAGTTCTTGAAAAAAAAAAAAGAAAAAATGAAATAAAACCTTAGCCACTTATTTAACATATATTTACATTGTAAAAGTTGGAACTGATCGCTCTTAATTATTCTTATATGTTGATCTGCAGTATTATTCACTTTAATTATTCAGGAAGGAAACAAAATAAATAATGAACAAACTCTCTTGGCGAATCATATGCAAATTAATGCGCCAGATTTTGAACTCATCCCATTGGAGAGTCCATTCCTCGCCGAGTGTCATTTCGGTTTACCTCTTCCATCAGGTTTGTTTATGCTTTTGGAAATTGATTGCATGATTGCATATTTTATATTTCTATGAGTTTTTATGGCTTTTAGAAGAATACTGTTCAATATTTAGAAGTTTTAACACACAGTAAGAAGTTAAATGCAGCTTAGTAGTGCTTCCTTTATGACATGTAATGCTATATATTCTTTTTCAGTTGGTTTAGCAGCAGTCGTAGTGCGCGATATGATCGATCGTAAGGGTGCTGCACATCCGGATATTGGTTCCATCATAGCTTATGCTTTATCTTCGGTTGAATATAATACAAAACGAAGAAAACAGCGTGATTCTGCTTATAATGTCTTTGTTGAGTGAGTTATTTTAAATTTTTAAAATATTTTTGACATTTTCAAGTACTGTTTTTTTCAAGAAGAGTTTGGTGTTCACAACTTAATTTTGAAAAGTTTTATGTTGAGTGAGGAGTATGGTGTTGTCAGAACGGTTTCATTATTTTCAACGATTTTTTATTTTTCATCATGAAAAAAGAATTTTGTTTAACAGATCAGTTTTAGAGTGGAATCAGTTGCAGTAGCAAATTATGAACATATTGAAGTTGATTTTGCTGATGATAAGGCGCAATATTACGTAAAGGTAAGGTTATATTGGACTTGCATATTGAAATCTTTGAGTTACTATTTTAAACTTATACTTTTGACCTTAAGCTCATATTCTTGTTGAGATTTTTTGCTATTACCCAATGTCGAGTGCATTATAGTGCAGATGATTTGTAACAAATTATAGCTCCATATTCATATTTCAGATTTATTATGCTGAAAGATTCCATATGTTGCGGAAGTTGTTATTCGTTGAAGGTGAAGACTGCTTTATTAGGTCGTTAAATTCATCTCGTAGTTGGAGCCCGCAAGGTGGCAAATCTGGAGCTTCATTTTATCGCACACAGGCGAGTTCATCATTATTTGAACAACTTTTATGCTGAGAAAATAAGGATTGTATAAAAAACTACGAGAATGTTTGAAAAAAAAAAAAAAAAATAGATTACTGCATTCAATGAATAATTTATGCTGTAGAAGAAGTTAGAGTAAACGAATCTCATAATCTCTGCATTGTTTACAGGATGACCGATTTGTTTTCAAACAAATGTCTCGGTTCGAAATCCAGTCATTTGTGAAATTTGGTCCTAACTACTTTAGCTATGTTTCTACTGCCATGACGGATAATAAATTGACAACACTTTGCAAGGTACTTCTTTGTTCGTATAGCTAATAAAAATGGCAAAAATGAAACACTTCAAGCAAAATCAAACGGCCGATAAAGTAATCGAAGAAAAAAAACTAATTTCAAACTAAAAACATAGCTTCGGTTTTAATGAAATGTGAGAAAACAGAGCTACCACAACCACACAAAGTTTGTGGGAAATTGTGTAGTGCCGGCGGTAATCAGTTGAATAATATATTTGGATATTAATCAAGAAATCGCGAGTTGCAACGGAGCGCAAGAAATAGATACTCTATCTCCTGCTAACATTTGGAAATAATTTTAGGTTTATGGTGTATACAGAATTTGTTACAAGAACAAAAGCAGTGGTCAACAGTTGAAAGTTGATGTTTTGGTTATGGAATATCTCTTTTACCGCCGAAATGTGAAACAAGTGTGGGATCTGAAAGGCTCGCAAAGAAATAGGTCTGCATATCTTGAAAGTATTATTTGCAGAAATTCAGTGTTTCATTTCATTAATTCATTTATTAAAAACGACTTTTATAGGATGGCGTCGGAAGGAAAAAGGACGGCAGATCTGGTTTTATTGGATGAAAATTTAGTAAAAGATCTTTGGAATAATCAGCTTTATGTGCATCCTCATTCGAAGGCAGCGTTAAGTATGGCTATAAGTAATGATAGCCATTTTCTTTCTGCCCAGGTTTTTTTTTTTCTATCATATTTTAAAGTTGATTAATTAATTAATGACTGCTGAGTAACAAGCTGAGCATAACTACTGAGTATAATTTAGAATGCCATGAGAAAATCATTCTTATATGATTATCGTCGCTGCTAAAACACGTGTTCAAAATCCAGTGTTTCATATGTGGAAACGTATTTACTTTTCTGTGTAGTTAATGGAATATTTAATGCTAACAGTGGGGGAGGGAAAGAACCTACCACCAATAATTTCATCGTACTCCATTCTATTTCAGAGTTCCACTATAAGTAGCCTAAATCGCTAAAGGTGTTCTTTCAGCATGTAATGGATTACAGTTTGCTTGTTGGAGTAGACGAAACGAACAGTGAATTAATTCTTGGTATTGTGGATTACATGCGCACCTATACGCTTGATAAGAAATTGGAAAGTTGGGTAAAAATCGTAGCAATACCTGGTGCACACTTACCTACCGTCATTTCTCCAGAAATGTACTGCACACGATTTTTTGATGCTATTGACACATATTTTCCGATTGCACCAGATCAGTGGACTGGACTTGGTTCCGCCTTGTCCTCTTCTGACTATTAAAAAAAAGCCAAATTTAATTCAGAAGTAAGGTTAGCTAAAGAAATAGAAGGAATTCCATGACGATAGACGTATTCTACAGGAATAAGTCCAATCCATTTTTCATACAGAGAAGGATCAACATTCATTCGTAGCAGATATATGTCTTTCTGTTCAGTTCCGAGGATTTTTTAACCTTGTTTATGAACATTTCACGGGTCACCGTGCATGGGGAACAATGAATGATGTAACTTGCGCAAGCCGCTTATTCTTGAATACTGCTAAAGAATGTATTTCAGTACTTCATTTGTTCTATGAGTCTCCTTTTGATCTATTTGTTTGCAAATATGTGCCAGCTAAATTATTGCTGAGGTGTTGTTCTTTTTGGATGCCACACAGCAGAAATAATCATTTTGAAGTAGACGTTATTTCACTGGCAAATGATTGTTGTCTTCCATGAGACAAGTTATTTTTGTTCAGATAAAATTGAAATGGAAATCTTTAAGTTGTAATTATTCTAACAAATACTCATGTTTGTCCAGAATTTTTCGAGATTTTTCATATATTCAGTGATTTTCTGAAGTGAGGAGTGTTTATACATCGCTTCGTAACTGATAGATAGGTAAAAATTTTCAAACGCAGATAAATGCGAAGTCTGCATTATTTTATATTGTTTTAATGCAAAAAAAAAAGGGAGCGCCCTGTTCATAAGCATTTATTATACTGTAAATATTCCAGTGAAGTTCTGTTTCTCATTCAATACACAAAACAGTTTGTAAAAGGATGGGTGGTGTGACTTATCACCCAATTCCTGACTTTTGTTGTAGATAATCCCATAAATGAGTACATAAATCGTAGGTGCAACAATTCACTCACCATCTCTACCTGACCAGCCTATTCCCGTTACGTCGTCCTCGAAGCATAGGATGCATAATTTGCATGTCTATATTTTACGCTGCTTTGCGATAAAGCGTGAAAATTAGTGTTCGCTCGGTTGTCCTGTAGGCCGTCATTTACTTTGTGGGGGTTTTTGTTGACGGTTTGTAATATTCAGTGGTAGTATATATTAAAGGGCAGTTAGCGGTCATACTGTTCTATTTATCAAGGAATGGATCGTTATCGAAGGAGAAGAGTGAGTCCATTGATTGTTTCAAAGTAAGGCACGACAAGTGATACAATTAACTTAGCACTTAATCCATAGTTTATGTGGTACACAATGTTTAACTGAAACAGTTTGGGTGGTTGCAAGCCAGTGTTGGGATTAGACGTTGCTCAATATTTCAATCTCGCTTAATCTTTAGAAAGAAGAGGAGGAAGCGGAATTATCAAAAGCTTATGAACAGTTTCGTGAAGCGTTCGAAGATGGCACATCGATCGCCAGTAAATCGTTTGTACGCGCTGCTGTAGTCAATGCAAATAAAGTTATGGAAGGTAAATAAGCAAAGTTTCTTTTTTTTTTTTTTCTGATGTAAATTGTTGCGAGTTGAAAAATGCTTTTTGTTGCATCTAGTTGAAACGTTCGAAACTGGAGTCAAGTTGTACTTTTACAGACATAAGTTCGAAACCATCTATCTACAGTCCAAAAATTGAACTTGCGAAAAAAACTTCCGTCATACCAAATTCATTTGAACAAGCAAAAAAAATCGCAGAAGAAAAAGCGAAACGTATGATGGAAGAAGCTCGAAAAGCAAATTTAACAACAACTCGGCCGCCTCGACCTGGAAAAGCGCAGCAGAAAAGCAGAACAAGTAATTTGGAAGCCTTTAAAGAGGAATTAAAGAGGTATATGCTCCCTTTTATTCTTTGAAAATAAAAGTTTGTATCATAAGGTTTTTTTCGCTAAGGATTCTGTTTAAAAGAATATTTAAAATTCAGAAAAATGTTGCCCAGGTCAATATCACAGATTCTTTGGTTGAAATTTCTTTTTAATAGTATGCAAGAAGAGCGGGAGCAACGAAGACATTTACGATCGCAAATGGAACAGATGGGCATGGAAAAGGAAGCACTGGATCGTATCGCACCACTTATTGATAATCCGTATTTACATGGAACTGGGGAATATGATAATGACCCAAATACAACTAATATTTATCTTTCTAATTTGTCGTTGGAGGTAGGAAATTTTTTTCAAATACTTTTGCTCAAAGTTATTCTTGTGTCTTGTGAAAATGTAGAAAGCGTCAAATAATTATATTATCTTTTCATTTTTCCATAAATTATTTTGGGAATGTGATATTCTGTTCCTGGCAGTACCCAATTGTTAAATTTTATTATAGATAAAAATTGAAGATTTATACAATACTTTTGGCACTTTTGGACCGTTGGCATCCGCAAAAATTTTATATCCTCGTGAAGAAGATCGCAAACGAGAACATTTGTGCGGCTTTATAGCTTTCATGATTCGTAAGGATACTGATCGTGCTATTCAGGGAATGCAGGGTAAATATATCAGAGGATCCGAAGTGCGGATGTCTCTTGCTAAACCAGTCAGCATACCACCGCAGGTTTATAGTTCATTTGATCAATGAGATGATTGACGCATCTCTAATCTAACTATATTGAAAAAATCATGTTTTATTTATTAGGGGCACCGTTACTTTTTCTTAATTTCGCATGAATTTGCTTGGGCCGATTTATACGAAATTCTAGCCGATTTATGTGCCCCCGGCTTTGTTGGAATTTGCTATGCCGGATCCTCCTACTGGTTTGCCGTTTAATGCTAAACCAAGGAAATGTGATTTGGATGCATTATTAAAGAAATGTCCATTGCCGCGTCTTGGTACTTCGCTTCCTGAATCTGGTCATGGTTTGGAGGAGTATCGAAAGGTATGATAACTTTCGTTCTTGTAACCGAATTTTGGTAATCAAGTACCTTTAAATTCCTATCGTCTTATATTTCAAAGCTATAATTTGAACGGTTTAAGTCAGTGACACACATTTAAACACATCTAAATTCCATACTTAGTAAAACGTAGAAAGCACTTAATGACATCAAATCATTAAAACATTTTCTGTTCTGTAGATGCTCAGGAACGCCGTCGTGCGGGTAGTGGTCCCTACAGAAAGGTACTACTTGATTATATTCTCATTGTTCTTGCATTCTTCTATTCAAGCTCTTTGGTTCGTCCATTTTGTCGATATGATTTCACATGGAAAGCAGTGAATCACACATACTTGGAGCTGTTTCTTAGCATCTCCAAACGAGTTTTTGCAGATTTTTTAAAACAATAACTTTCTTTTTTGTATATGGGCTGAAGGGTGAGAGGGGGGAGGGAAGTTTCTGTTATCGTGACTGGGATGTGAAAGGAGTGTTGAGTTTATGATGGGATGTATGATTCAAAAAATAATAATTCCTGATTATTGCTAAAATTTTTATGGTTTAAATGGTACATGAAATGGATAAATAGTAATATTTCTTATGAATACTGATGTGATGATTAATTTCGTAATGCAGTTAACTTATTAAACTATTGCATTGCCATGTGTTCACGTACTAAATGTATCTGCATTTTTTTTTCTGGAGGCACAGAATTTTGTTGAGTGAGTCACCACCTATTTTAGAGTGACAAAGTTCGACTTCAAGCGCTTTTGTTTTTCCCAGTAACTTAATAGGGCTATACATGCTGCACATCCTTGCACTAGTTTGCTTCTCATGTTTTCAGCAGATACATAATGCGATTAATTAAAAAAAATCGGTGTTTACCCTAATACAAAGACCATCTGAAAATGGCCCCATCCTTGCAATTTTGTTCGGAATGCTGTTGTTTGTTTTCAGAAGTTTGTTAGTGTTAATTCATCGGACCATTGAGTTTTTGGTGCGTGAAGGACCGCTATTCGAAGCAATGTTGATGGGTCGAGAACGACATAACCCCGTATACCGGTATGTTTTCTAGAGCAGCAGGAAGTATTGTATGGCTTTTATTTTTCGAGAAGGCATTTTCAAAATTTGAATAATTGCGTGGCTTTCAAGGTTTCTTTTCGATAATCACCATCCAGCACACGTTTATTATCGATGGAAATTGTATTCCATACTACAAGGTGAGACACCACAAACTTGGCGCTTGCAGAAGTTCCGAATGTTTGATGAAGGTAGCTGGTGGCAGCCACCACCTCACAATATTTTAACTGGTGGAATGCCCGAGTGCTTATATCATACTGCTTTTGATGGTGGTTTGCCAGCGGAAAGGCCTATAGTAAGGTTTTTTCATTCGAAACTTTGCAAAATTTTCTTCTTGATAGAGTCAAATTAACTAGAATTCTATTACGTAATTTCTTCAGTTGTCAAAATTGTTTAAGTATTCAGAAATCAAGAACTTGCTCACAATAATTCTTTCTGTGATAATTTTTGCTTTTATTTGTTTATTAATTTATTTATTATCCTATCCATAGGCTAAGTCACGAAAAAGGAAGTACAGCAGTAGTGAAGACGAAGAAGAAGACAGAAAAGAAATTAAAACGAAATGGAGAGGAGTACTGAGCACTGCTGAACGAGATGAGCTTGAGGTTTTATTGATTTTGCTTGTCTTTGTTGGATTTCATTTATTTCGTAAATATAGTGAAAAAAATGTCCAATGAATTCCAAGGATATACTCCGAGGACTTCTTCCTGAGAAATCTTCCGTGGCAGATGCAATGGTTTGGTGTGTGGAGCATGCTACATGTGCCAAAGAGATCTCTCAGTGCTTACACGAATCGTTAACTATTGATGAAACACCCCTGCATAAAAAGGTTCATTTTATATCTCATCTACTTTTTGTAAAAAGAAATCAATTTCAGATAATCTACATCAAAGATTCTCATTCATTTTGTCTGTCATTCTTTAGATTTATACAGTGTTTGAATTTTAACAATATTTTGAATTAGCTCGCAGATTTTCTGCGATTATGTAGTAAATATGTTGCGGAAAGATTTGTCTTTTGAGCTTTTGTTTAACCATAGTGGATCAGGCTTAGATCTTATGAATATTTTAGTAAATTAATTTGCATCTCGTTATTTCGTAAAATCTTTTAAGAATTTTCATAATTC